CTTTTTCCTCGGACTGGAGGAAGCCCTGAAAATGGATACCGACGAGGTGGCTTTTGCCTAAGCCCACACACAGGGGCTGGCGTGTCTGCAGCATCGCGCCACCATGGAATATGTCCTCTTTGTGCTGTATTTCTCTTTCTTCCTGTGTCTCTGCGCCCTGGTGTGCCTGTACTTCTCCGGCTGCCAGGAGATGACCTATAAGCATGAAGGTAGGCAGCTGGCTTGGGGTTTTGTTTTTTGAGGTTCTGTGGAGGTCGCCGGCTGTGACCGACTGATGCTCCCGCCTGTGACAGGCAGCTCTGTTGAAAATGAAAAGAAGACGAGAAGACAGGTGGTTGAGAGAGGCTGGATCTGGTTGAGGGGCTATTTGTTTTGGGGGTACCTTCTCTTTTTCCTTCTGGTTCGTTTGACCCGCTAAGGAGGAGCTCCTCTGTATATTCAGAGTGTAAATGGAGAAGACGTGTTTACTCTTCATTCATTTTGCCAAAACTGATTTTTTTTTTTTCTTTTGAGACAGGATCTTGCTCTGTCACCCAGGCTGGAGTGCAGTGGCACAGTCACAGCACACTGCAGCCCTAACCTCCCAGGCTCATATAATCTTCCCACCTCAGCCTCCCAGGTAGCTGGGACTACAGGCGTCAGCCACCATACTCAGCTAACTTTTAAAATAACTTTTTCTAGAGATGGGTTCTCACTGTGTGACCCAGGCTGATCTTGAACTCCTGGGCTCAAGAGATCCTTCTGCCTCAGCCTCCCAAAGTGCTGGGATTACAGGCATGAGCCACTGTGCCCAGCCAAAACTGAATCTTAATCTGAATCTGGATTCATCTGTAAAAACAAGTCCACAAGAAGAGGCTTTGGTTGCAAGGAACATGGAAGGCTAGAGGAATTACCTTTTTACTCAGTAGATGGGCTCAGAATGAGCAAATCATGGACATTTTTGCTTCTAATGTATCTCTTGTGAGGAAAAACCCAGAGACTCTTAGAAGAGTGGAGATACAGAAAAATGAACGGTGTCTTTCATGTTTGCCATTTTTTTTTTAAAGTGCAGTGTGTGCCAATCATGAGAGGAAACAATGTTTTCTAGGTGGTTCTCCCCTCATTCCTTGAGAAGCAGGTGGTGAATTATTTCCTGCATGTGTGGAAAATGCAGAGCAAAACCAGTTGCATTGCCTTCAAGGAAGACGGCCACTGTGTTTTCACTTTAAACATTAATGTATCTTTTCTATTTTTTATTAATAAAGGCACAAATATATCAAGATATCGAGTACATGCAGGCTTCCTGTGTAATATAATCACTCAACGAAACTTTTCTCTAAAGGAAACAAACTAACCCAGTGTTATAAAATGTTACAAAAAAGTTAAGGCCGGGAGTGGTGGCTCATGCCTGTAATCCCAGCACTTTGGGAGGCCTAGGTAGACGGATCACTTGAGGTCAAGAGTTTGAGACCAGCCTGGCTAACATGGTGAAACCTTGTCACTACTTAAAACAAATATATATACACACAAATTAGCCAGGTGTGGTGGCACGCACCTGTAATCCCAGCTACTCAGGAGGCTGAGGCAGAAGAATTGCTTGAATTTGGGAGATGGAAGTTGTAGTAAGTTGAGATTGCGCCGCTGCACTCCAGCCTGGGCAACAGAAGGAGACTCTGTATCAAAAAAAAAAAAAAAAAAGAAAGAAAAGAAAAGTTAAAATGTTTTTTAAAAATACTCCGCATAAAAACCTGAGGGGTTGGGTCCCAGACAACCCCTTGCTGCTATAGGAACTCTGTGTGTGCTGGGCCTGGCCATGGATTCCTCTCCATTGCGGCAGGGTTCAAATTGGACTGCCGTTTTGTGTTTGGTTTCTGCCCTAAGAGCTGCTTCCTCTTTCCCTCAAAGCAGCGTAGTTCCGTGGAGTCTTGGTCTCTGGGGCCATATGATATGATACTGTCAGGGGCTCCACTGCGTCTGAAGTTAGGCTGTTTGCAAAGGCTGCTCTACTTTAAACACAGGCGGCAGCATCGGTAGTTAATGCCCTGTATTAGGGCTTGAGAGTTCAGTCCTTAACTAGCAGTCCTGCAGGGTCTTTGACAGCATCAGTAGTTAATGTCCTGTATTAGGGCTTGAGAGTTGAGTCTTTAACTGGTAGTCCTGTGAGGCCTTCACAATGGATCGTCCTAGGTAATTGAACACTGAGTCATTACCCCCAGGAGGGCCCCTGACGCTGACGTGGATGGTCACAGCCCAGCAGTGTGTCCTAAATGTTTGGAAAGTGTGTGACTTGAGGATGCTTCCTGGGCTACAGCAACAAATAGACCCGTCCCCAGAGGCCTTGCGATTAGCGGTGTTTGCAAGAAATAAGGTCAGCTCAGCAGCTGCTCAGAAAAATGTGGAACCTGGAGCTCAGGGGGATGACCTGTGTGTGCAGAAGAGCTTGAGTGCTGCAGATGCATCACTCCTGTGGGTGCCATTGTCACCATGGGGTGGCACTACCACTGCTCTCTAGAGCCCGTTGGAAGAGTCCATGATGCCTGAAGTCAGGTGGGCTTCCCATCGGGAGGGGAGATTTGAGTAGATGATCGTCTCCAGCCTCTGCAAGGAGAGAAATGACATTGAAGTCGATGGTGCCCGTAGTCCTCACGTACCTGCCAGTGAGACTCATCTGGGGCATGTAACCACATGGTGCCCAACTGATGCCAGCTGTGTGAATGAATGGAAAGGGTGTCATGTGCAAAACAAAATCTGTTTGTGGATAGATAAACTAGTGTGGCTTTGAGTTCATTCACCCTGAGATACAGTCGGGAACAAAAGGGCCAACCCCCTGCCTTCATGGAGCTTCCATTTCAAGGGGTCGGGGGAAGACCATCAGTAAACACAATAGCTTGCTAGATCTTACGTCAGGTGGGAGACATGCTATGGAAAGGAATAAAGAAGGAGGCCCAAGAGGCTGGGGTGGGGATGAGGCAGGAGGGACCTGGGCATGGTGGCCAGGAAGCCTTTTCTCATATGATTGCATTTGTGCAGAGACCTAAGGGAATCTAGGGAAGGAGTCATGTGGATTCTGGGGAAAGTGTCTCGGAGTGCAAAGGCCCCGTGGCAGGCATGTGTGGGGTGCAGGATTGGAGAGCAGGAGGAGAGGAGAAGAGAAGGAGGGAGAGATGATGCCAGGGCAGGATGGGAGGTAGATCCCGCAGGGCCTTGCAGACCACTTGTAGCCTGCATGGATGTTGGTGGTTTTAATAATTCCAGACAGAGATATTGGTGGCTGGGACCAAGATGAAGGTGCCAAGGAGAGAGGGGGTCAGAGGGCTGGATTTTGAGTTGAAGGTAAAGTCAACAGCGTTTCTCCCAGAAAGGGCAGGCATGACAGGTGAGAAGAGAGAGGATTCCTGGGATGGGGGCCTGAGCAACTGAAGCATGAGCTGCTGCTGCTGCTGGACTCAGGTTAGATTGTGGGAGGCATGTTGTCAGGGGTAAGTCACTGCCCACTAGGATTCCACAATGCCATGGAGGACGCAGCTGACATATGAGTCTGGAGTTTGAGGGAGAGGCATATTCCCCGTGCATATTAAAAAGCAAGGAGGAATATGGGGGTTGGGGGATGCAGTGCGCAGAAAGACAGGTGCCAAATGCAAGAACGTTCTGGGTGACGTGTGGTGGTGGATGCCTCCCTTGAAGCCCCTTCGGAAACTGTGTAAGGTGACAAGGATGTCCCTGCATCTTCCCTGCCTTATGTCTAAATTATTTCCTAATCACATTATTAACTCTGGTGCCAGTCACATTTTTCTTACATTTATAGTAAATTTGAGTAAAACACACGGGCGGGGAGGGGCCCTTAGTATGTGGGGAGTGCCTGGCTTTTCTCTGTGGGTTGGGGGAGCTCTGGGTGAAGCCGTGTTGTGGATGAGCCAGCAGAGCCTCGGGCTGGGCTCTGGAATTTAGTTTTGATTCCTTCTTTATGGTCTGAAAAGCATTCATTGATTGTAAAAACAAATAAAAATCCTTGTCAGGGGCTGTTTGGGAAAAAAACAAAAAAGCTATGTTCCTAAAATAAGGGACACTGATCTGGCGATTGTGGGTCAATGTCTGCAGCCCCCAGGGGATGGGTGCAAGCTCCTTGGGGCAGGGACCTGGCCTGGTTTTGATCCTGTTGTATTCCCCAGGCCTGCCCCCACGTCTTGCCCATAGAAGGAGCTTTGCCAGTGTTTGCCGAGTGAGTGAATGAATGGATAGACAGATGAATGAAGCCCCATATTGTGTGATATTTGGAGTGGGAGAAGTGCCAGCAGGGTAACTCAGAGGCCGGCATATAGCGCCTTACGATTTGTCTCTGGATCTGAGTGATGGGCGCGTGAAGGTCTATTACACGATTCCTTCTCATTCTGTGAATGTTCCCAGTTTTCTATAGTAAGTTAAGCAGAGATTGTCTCTTAATGTAGGTCTGGCTGGGACTTGGGCCATGCATTTGCCATGCTATTCAGAGCACTGGGACTGTGGCTGGGCTCTCCACTCCTTCAAGTTGTTGCCCCCTCTGGTATCCATCTTCATCCAGTTCTTCTCCTTGGAACTTGACATCTCCCTGGGCCCTGTCCCCCTTCTCGTTGGTACAGCCAGTGCACTGCTCATGGAGCGTGACAGAGTGCTGGGCTGCTTTCTGGGCACAGGGCACGCATGGCCCCCTTTTGTGCTCACAGGTGTGGTGGCGTCTCACTCCATTTGTTAGAGAAGGAGGCTGGCACTCCAGGGGCCAAGTGGCTTGCACAGGTCTACAGCTGGAGAGCCAGGGCCAGGGCCAGACTAGCTTTCTTGGGCTGCAAACCCTAGGGTCATCTGCCACCTGCTGCCACCTTTTATCCCACCCAGTCAGTTACAAAGCCCACCAACAGCATCTTGGAATGCCCCAGTGGCCCAAATATGAATCGTTGCCCCCCTGCATTGGCATGCCCACGACCAGGGGCTGGTAGACTCTGGCAATCCTCAGTCATTGCTAACATCATACAAATTGCATTTTACAGAAGCATGTTGTGGAGACATTTTTTGGATTTGATGAGGAGTCTGTGGACTCAGAAACATTGTCCGAAACATCCTACAACACAGACAGGACGGACAGGACTCCAGCCACGCCTGAAGAAGACTTGGACGATGTAAGCAAACCTGAAGAGGGAGTGGGACCTCACCCCAGATGCTCTCGGGGTGGCACCTCCTGCTTTTGGTGGTTGCAAGTTTCGCTCCCTTGCCTGTAGTTCTGAACCCCAGATGACCCGTTCTTACCAGTGCATTATCAAAGCCAATGGCGTGAAGGGAAGGCGAACCCCGCGGCCGTGGGCTCCATGAATGGTGATGGGAGGGCAGCACGTGGGGACCCTTTCTTTCCCCGGCACTGATTTCCCCACCAAGGAAATCTGTGTCTGCCAAGTTCAAGCTGGGTCACTGCGGAATGTCACCTTGGGTTTCCTCACCATTTGCAATTAAAACTGCTGCACAATGGTCTCTCCCTGGTCCCCACACATGTGTGCACACACGCACACACGCACACACCACACACACGCACACACGCACACGTGCACGTGCACACACACACACGCACACACCACACACGCACACACACCGCACACACGCACACACCGCGCACGCGCGCACACGCACACGCCGCACACGCCGCGCACGCGCGCACGGCGCACACGCCGCACACGCCGCACACGCGCACACGCCGCACACGCGCACAAGCGCGCACGCCGCACACGCCGCACACCGCGCACCCCGCGCGCGCGCGCGCACACCGCGCACCCCGCGCACCCCGCACACCGCGCACACCGCGCACCCCGCGCACCGCGCACACCGCACACACCGCGCACCCCGCACACACCGCGCACACCGCACACACGCACACACCGCACACACCGCACACAAGCACACACGCACACACCGCACACACCGCGCACACGCACGCACACCGCGCACACGCACGCACCGCGCACACCGCGCACGCCGCGCACACGCACGCACCGCGCACACCGCGCACACGCCGCGCACACGCACGCACCGCGCACACGCCGCGCACACGCCGCGCACACCGCACACCGCGCACACGCCGCGCACACCGCGCACCGCGCACACACGCACACACCGCGCACACCGCGCACACGCACACGCCGCACACACCGCACACACCGCACACACCACACACACGCACACGTGCACGTGCACACACACACGCGCACACACCGCACACGCGCGCACACCGCGCACACGCACACGCCGCGCACGCCGCACACGCGTGCCCGCCGCACACACCGCGCACGCGTGCACGCCGCGCACGCGCGCACGCACGCACGCGCACACACCGCACACACCGCACACCACGCACGCGCACACCACGCACGCGCACACCGCGCACGCCGCGCACACCGCGCATGCCGCGCACACCGCACACACCGCACACACCGCACACACCGCACACACCGCAGACACGCACACACGCACACACCGCGCACACCGCACACACCGCAGACACGCACACACCACACACGCACACACGCACACACCGCACACACCGCACACCGCACACACCGCACACGCGCACACGTGAACGTGCACACACACACGCGCACACACCGCACACGCGCACAGACCGCGCACGCGCACACGCCACGCACGCGCACGCAGCGCACGCGCGCACGCCGCACACCCCGCGCACGCCGCACGCGCACACCCCGCACGCGCACACACGCGCACACCGCACACGCGCACGCACACACCACGCACGCGCACACACGCGCACACCGCACACACCGCACACACCGCACACACGCACACACCGCACACACCGCACACACCGCACACACGCACACACGCACACACCGCACACACGCACACACCGCACACACCACACACACCGCACACACGCACACACCGCACACACGCACACACGCACACACCGCACACATGCACACAGGCCCACACCGCACACACCGCACACACCGCACACACGCACACACCGCACACACCGCACACACGCACACACGCACACACGCACACACCGCACACACGCACACACCGCACACACCGCACACACCGCACACACGCACACACCGCACACACGCACACACGCACACACCGCACACACGCACACAGGCCCACACCGCACACACCGCACACACCGCACACACGCACACACCGCACACACCGCACACACGCACACGCACACACCGCACACACGCACACACCGCACACGCACACACGCACACACCGCACACACCGCACACGCGCACACCGCACACACCGCACACACCGCACACGCGCACATGCACACACCGCACACGGGCACACGCGCACACCGCGCACACCGCACACGCGCACACGCGCACACCGCACACACCGCACACACCGCACCGCACACACCGCACACGCGCACACACGCACACACCGCACATGCGCACACGTGCACACCGCACACACCGCACACATGCGCACACGCGCACACCGCACACACCGCACACGCGCACACCGCACACACCGCACACACCGCACACGCGCACACGCGCACACCGCACACGCGCACACGCGCACACGCGCACACGCGCACACCGCACACACCGCACACACGCGCACACCGCACACACCGCACACACCGCACACGCACACACGCACACACGCACACACCGCACACACGCACACACCGCACACACCGCGCACACGTGCACACGCGCACACCGCACACGTGCACACGCGCACACCGCACACACCGCACACACCGCACACGCGCACACGCGCACACACGCTCACACGCACACACCGCAGGGCAGAAACGGCATCATTGTTTTTTGACTAAGATAAAGTATATAATCCAAAAATATATAAAGAAGAAAGTGAAGAGCCCCTGAAGTCCCATCACCCCAAAGTCGCCACCTCACCCTGTCCCGACCACCTGTGCCCATGGGTGCATAGCCAGGTTCTTGAGCGAAGTGGATTCACTTCGCTCAAAGTGAACAAAGACCAGCTTTGTTCCCACTCACCTTCCCCAGGTGAATTCTTTCAGGCGTGCTGATGACATCTCAGGCAGACCTTGTGGGCTACTATGCCTTCCAGTGACAGGAATAGTCACATTTGATTAATTTCCTAAACTGCAGACTTCATTCAGCGCAGACCTTCCCCTTGCTCCCTGCCGGGGCCTGTGTCAGGCTTGGCTGCTGTTTCCCTAGCTCGCTCTTCTGCCTCTTCCCATGCAGGCCCCTGGTGGCTTTTTCTGAGCCCAGGGAAGGGCAAGAGTGGGAAGGGGGTGCGGATGTGCTGGGGTAGCTGGCCCTCAGGGCAGTGCCCTCTGGCAGGGGCAAGTGGATTGTGCTGCCTCTTGGGGGAACACTTTTCCAGGTCTCCACGAGCTCCGCTTGCTGTGCTGCACCCCACAGCTTCCTGGTGAGGGACTGGGCACTGCAGCTCCTCGCGCCCCAATGTCCCAAGACTCTGAATGGTCCGCCTCCCACACACCTCTGCTCGTTGTCCTCGTCCCCTCCTGGCGGACTTTTCTGTGGAATCCCATCTGGAATGAGTTCTAGGCTGCTTTCCTCCCATGGGTCTATTTGCCGTAGGAAAATGTGGCAAGTGCTGTGGGTGCTGGCACATCCGACCCCAAGGTGGCCCTCTCCTTGCTTTTCCATCTTGTGCCAAAACTCTAGGGGACACGTGTCACCTCTGCAGGTCGTCCCCTTGACATCCCTTCTCATGCTGAGACAGACACACCATCCTCCCCGAGAGCCCACCAGCCTCAGCCCAAGTGCCGACTGGAGGGAGGGGCCTGGCCGGTGCTGGAGACACACCACAATCCATCAGCCTGTCCTGCACAGGGGTCTGGACTGGGCTACTCAGCCTTTAGGGTCTTGTTCTCAGCCATGGGCCTTTTACGTTTAACTTAAAACAGGACGCGTGTTTTCAGTTTGCTTTTTCCCAGCCAGTGATACGTAATAGGCATCTTTCAGCGCCAGAACAAGGGATTGCCTCCTCCTCTCTCATGGCCATGTGGGGCTTTGCCTTGGATGAGCATCACGCACTGATGGGGGATTTATGCTGTGTCATTTTCCACACCTGTGAACCGTGCGTGGAGCTCCATCGTATTTGTGTCTTTACACACTTACGTGGCCATCTTCCTTTTTTTTTTTTTTGTGGAGACGGAGTCTAACTCTGTCGCTCAGGCTGGAGTGCAGTGGCATGACCTCAGCTCACTGCAACCTCCACCTCCCAGGCTCAAGGAATTCTCCTGCCTCAGCCTCCCGACTGGCTGGGATTACAGGTGCCCACCACCGTGACCAGCTGTTTTTTGTATTTTAGTAGAGAGGGAGTTTTACCATGTTGGCCAGGCTGGTCTCGAACTCCTGACCTCAGGTGATCTGCCTCAGCCTCCCAAAGCGCTGGGATTACAGGTGTGAGCCACCATGCCCAGTCTTCTCTTTAGGATAAATTCCCAGAATGGGAGGTGCTGAGTGGGAGGCGTCACCCTTTACAATGGGGACCTTTGCTTCTGGAGTTGGGGCTGGTTCCATGGTATCAGCCCTTTCTCTCCCACCTGCTGCCACATAAGTCAAGTGATTCCTGTGGGTGGGAGCTCCTGGGAGGAGCGCTGATGACTGAGGAGGTGCCTCCTCCCGGCAGCCTTTTCCTCCAGTCCCTAGTTGCTTCCTGGCAATGCGAAGCTCCTTAAGTACCTGTTGGCAGCACTGTGAGATGTGGCCGTTTGATGTTGCCTAAGTTGACCCTGGCGCTCAAAGCCACAGCAAGTGTTTGATTATTTATGTTTATTATTAAAATCAATCATCAATCGTTTATTATTGTAATTATGCACTTATTTGTTTTCTTCTCTGTTATGGGAAGACCACAGCCCGCGAGGAGGCTGACCTGCGCTTCTGCCAGCTGACCCGGGAGTACCAGGCCCTGCAACGTGCCTATGCCCTGCTCCAGGAGCAGGTGGGGGGCACCCTGGATGCTGAGAGGGAGGCCCGGGTGAGTGCAGCCAGCCTCAGGGCTCGAGGGAGGGGCCCCAGATCATGCAGGTCCTTTCCAGAAGTGTGACATACCCTGGCTTGGACACTCAGAGGGCATTCTGAGAGGTGGTGGGGAACCCAGAGCAAGGTCTTTGCTGTGGTGACATTCTAGATCCCTCTCTGCATCCTCGGTGTGATGTCAGGAGCTCTGGAACGCTGAGCTGTTAGAGGAAGCAACGCTACACATCACCCGTGCCGTCTGTTTGGAGGAGAGCATGTGTCCAGAATTTAAGACTAAGTGATGAAATCACAGACGTGGTCGGCTTGCGGGCTTCAGGCTCCTCTCCCTCCAGGGCTGCGAGACCCCGCCCTCCGGGACATCCACCAGAACACTTGCAGGGACTTTGGGGTGCTCCCCAGCCACCAAGGCACTCTGGGCCCTGTGGCCACCTCAGTCCAGGACACGCCATTCCTCAGGCTGGGCTGAGCTCTGCCTTCTGGAAACCTCCACCCGCTGGCCCTTCTCCCATCTTTGGGAGTCACATAGACTGGGTCCTGCTCTCCCTTCCTCCTGTGAGTGCGGGGTACTCCCGGAGAGCACACACATGCTTCCCTGCATCCCCTTTCCCATCTCACCCCCACACTGGTCCCCTGAGGCAGGGGGAATTAACCTCATCTTCCAAATGAAGAAACAGGCTCAGAACTGAGCAACTTGCCCCCAAATGCCGAGATGGTACCTAGCAGAGTTGGGAGTCGAGGCCAGGTTTCTTGGACTGAGGGCCTGTGCTCTTTTTCAGAGCCCTGTTTGGGAATTCCACAAAGGGATGGATTTTGGTGGTCTTAAAGGTGATGGGCCAGAATGGGACATTGCTTGGCAGATCTGATGGCAAAGGCAGAGAGGAGAGGCCATGCCCACATGGATCTTGTTCCAGGGGCAGCAGTGACCCTGTGTGGGGGGAGCCAGGAGTAAGGGGGAGCCAGGAGTAAGGGGGAGTCAGGAGTAAGGGGGAGTGAAGTCAGCAGGGCAGGAAGCTTCTTGTCCCACCATAAAAGGCCCAGTCTTTATCATCTAGGTCAGAGGAGGGAAACTGTGAGGCTTTGTGTGGGCGGAATCATTTTTGTTTTGCTTTTTAAATTTCGTCTACTTGCCAACATTTAAAAGTCAAGAGATTCCATAGAGAAATCCAGGTTTGTGACCTCTCTTGAAGGGTCAGAACGTCTGGCAGCAACAGGCATCCCATTTCATGTGGCTGCTGCTGAGTGGCAGCGCCTCCCTGAGATGGGTCATGTGCCTCTGGTTTGCCACAGTCCCCACCACTCCCTGTTACCCCACACCCTGTTGACTTCCCTTGTTTCTATGACTTGCTTGGTGCTTGAAGTATTTTGCTTTGCAGCCCCTGCTGTAGATGATAAGGGGCCTGGACGGGGGCTACACAAGTGTGCAAGCATGTTGAAGTTTGATGATAGTTGAATGAGCTTCAGATTCAGTGAGGACTGGACTTGGTCAGAGAGCTGGTCCTGGACCCCCAGTGTGGCTGGCTTCTGGCTCACTCACCCCCTTGAAAAACAGGGTCCCTTGTCCAGGCTTCATTTTCCTTGACTATAAAACCAAGCAAGTCGGACCTGTCAAACTCTCAAGGCTGTTCCGTTCTTAATGATTTTGTGTTTGAAGCTGAGCCATGCTTCTAGTAGGGCAAGGTGGAATATGTGCTCCTAAAAGTGAACCTGCTCCTAAGGTTTGCCTATAAGGATCCTAGGCATTGCTTGCATCGAGGCATCACACTTTCCACTTCCCTGTCACCCACTGGAGGTGACCAGCTCACTGCCTGGTCTTTTCCCTTCCAGACTCGGGAGCAGCTACAAGCTGATCTGCTGAGGTGTCAGGCCAAAATTGAAGATTTGGAGAAGTTACTGGTTGAGAAGGGACAGGTGAGCAGGAATGATCTGTGCTCTGTGGATCTTTGCTTTTCTGTCCCCTCGGTGGTGTCCCCAGGGCTCGCCCGTGTGCCGAGGGGGATATTCTGTGGGGCTGGATCAGGAGCTCCAGAGACACTAGAGGAAAAAACACTAGCAGAACCCAGGCACGGGTGTGCTTCCTACTGAGCCTGCGTGCCGAGTTTAAAAAATCAAAACAAGGTATGGCAATCTAACTTGGCCTTTTCTTTGTTTGTTTACCAAATGCACAAAAAGGAGGTAATTCCAAAAGCAACGGTGTGATCAAAACTGTTTTTGACTTGAACCTGAAGAAGAGCTGTCACTTCCTATCAAGATTTTAATTGTGAAAAAGAACCAGCACCCATGACTAACCCTGGGTTATTGCAGAGGCCCCACCTCTGGTCTCTGATTGTGTCTTAGAACAGTCTGATCCTGTGCTGCTCAGGTTAGAGTCACCTGCACCTACCCATCCACTGCATTTGATTAGGCAAGGCCCGGTTGACAGTAAGACACAGCAGAAAAGCAATGCCTGGGCCTAGACCTGTCCTCTGGAGTCGGGGAGATGCCAGAGGGGGCTCTGGGTGGAAATCTGGCCTCTCAGGGGGTGGCATCCAAAGGTTAGTATGAGTCGGCCTCCTCTGTGTCAGAAGTGCTGCTGTGGTGACATAGGTGACATAACCTGAACATCTCCCTGGCCCCATGTGACAAGGTGTATTCTGTTCACACTCCTGTTTCTCCCTGGGGCCTCTCAGGGATGCAGGACAGGAGGCACCATCGTCTTGGAACTGCCCCATCTCGAACTCTTCCTCTGCTTGGCTGTTTGCTGCCTCAGCAAAATTCATCAGTCACATGGCCTCACTAACAGTGAGGGTGCCAAGGAGGGTGTGGGCAGATGGAGTGTCTGGTGGCCCCCACCCCCACCTGCAGAGAGGCATCTATGGGGGACTGAGGAGGCCGGGCAAGGTCTACTACAGGTCTTAGGCCCAGTGGGACACAGTGGGAGAAAGCAGGCGTGAAGCGAGGGGTGTAAAAGATTCCAGGCAGCTTAACAGAAGCAGCTCCGGAAAAGCACTGCAAAGCTGCAAAGCCAGCAGCTCAGAATGGCTGCCACAGGGCTCAGGGTTGAGACTGAGGTTCCCATGGAGGTGGACGGCCAGCGACCAGCATGCATGCCTGGCACAGAGTAGGTCGCCACAGCAGACTTTACCAATGGACTGCGTGGGGGAATGTGAGTCTCCAGCCCTCTGGAATGACTTCTGTAAACCGTGGTCTGCATCCTCCGTGTGGTGGGATTGTGATGCAAAGATCACACACTATAGCTGGCCACCTGGGTCAGAGGGCAGCTCTGCCACTTCCTTGTTGCATAACCTTGGGCAAGTTACATAATCTCTTTGTGCCTCAGTTTCCTCATCTTTAAAATGGGGCTAATAATAATTCCTAATACCTTAAGCAGGAGGACAGAGGAGAACCCAGGAGTAGCTGGAGCAGAGATCCAGGTGCCAGATGATAAGGCTTTTTTTTTTTTTTAGGCTGCTAGCCTCAGTTTCCCTCTTCTAGGCTGAGCTGACATATCTGTAACTTGCCTGATCACAGTCTATGACTAACTTAGTGTTGTAAGTAAATGTTTATTCCTTGGTGCTGCAAGGAAAAATCAGCATTCAGACAAAAATGTTCTCAGCAAGGCAATTTTACTTTCCACAGAAAGGGTGCTGCCTGTCAGCAATCAGACACATTGAACAAAGAAAAGCAGGGATATTTATTCCTTACACATTGGGTCCTTACTGCTGCGTCCTATCTCCATTGACTAGAGCTGGACCTCCCAGTCTAAGCTAGACCCAACTGACTAACAACTTAAAACTTTTCTAGATAGGTAAAGGCAATAGAGAACAAAGGAAAAGAGGAAGTTGCTTGTGAAAAGACTTAGAGAAGTAATAACATTTCCAAATAAGGAAGGGGCATAAGCTGCAAGCTGGGACATGTTTGAGCATGTCTATAACAAATATCTTCGTTAAAGTACAAAGACCTAGAATGTACTTATTCCCTTATATCTAACAGCTACATAGGAGGGGCTTAACAAAGAGTTATTAGTACAAAAGCAAGGAGGCTTGAAGGAAGTTAGTTTTTTAAAAGAAACTATTATTTCTAACACTTATGATTTATTCTTTCATAAGAAGGGAAACTTTGAAGAGGAACTTTTTTACTTTCTGCACTTGGCCTCCCCCAGGGGGTAGGTCCTCACTGTGTGGCCTGCTCTGCCCTCCATGCCTGCTGGAGAATGGCGCCAGTCTGGGGCAAAGCCTGTGGCTGTTCATCCAGCAAGCACTTCCCAGAACCCTCACCCATCCCAGGCCCAGTGCTGGTACCTGGGACACTGGGTCAGTTTGCTGTTGAGTAACAAACCACCCCAACACTTAGTTATTTAAAACAGCAGGGATTCTATTTGCACACAGTTCTGTGGATCAGCAGTTTTGGCTGGGCACAGCCTGCCAGCTGCTGACCAGGTGCCTCTGCCTCAGGGAGGCCCACCTGGCTTCTTTCCCCATGATTTGGGGCAGGGAAAATGGGCAAGCCCAAGGCCCTGGCAGGGTCCAAACCTCTGCTCAGGTCACCTCTGCTAACATCCCGGTAGCCAGAGCATGGCATGGCCCAGCCCAGCTTTGAGGTTGGAGAAATGGACCCCATTACCTGCTGGGAGGAGCTGCCAAGTCACATGGCAAAGAGGGTGGACACAGAGGTGGGAGGGAGGGTTGCAGCCATTTTTGGCCACGATACGCCACAGACAAAAGGTGGGTGGAGCACAGCCACTCCTCACAGGTGCTTGCAGCCTGTGAGGCCCGCATGTGGGTCAGCATGGGAATGACGCAGGTGCCAGGTGCCAGGGAGACAGAAGCCTGGAGGCAACCAGGGCCTCTTCTGAGCATTCCATGCACTTGGGACCAGACCCTAGGCCAGGCCTCTGCTTCTCAGCATCCTAGAACACCAAGATTCTGTGAGCCCAGCCCAGCCTGGTGCTTGGGAGGGGCCTCTGCCCAGTCCCAGCTCTGTGGCTGACCAGCAGAGAAGGGAGGAGGGAGTTGGAGAGGGCTTCCCATGCCTTTACTTATTCCTTCATCTGCCCATTCCGCGATTCACCGAGTACCCCTGTCCCCATGTGCCAGGCACTGTGCCAGGCTCGGGGTGCCACAGTGACAAGATGGACTTGGTGCCATGTGCTCACAGGACTTATCCAGGAGGATATGGCCAGGCAAAGAAACGTGGGAAGGGTGTCACAGGCAGAGAGAGTAGAATGAACAAAAGCATATCTGTGGCTCTGGCCAGTCCACGGGGTATGAGGTCAGCCTTCCGCAGGCATGGAGGGTCTGCCAGTGTGGACCAGTCACCCTGGAGCCACGTTTCTGTCAATTAGACTGACAGAATGGAGTCATCGCGCTTTGGGGAACGTGAATGAAGTGGAGAAGGGATGCCCCACAAACCAGCCATTTCTCTTTTGGGGGTTTAAAAGTTGACAGGGACAATGAGGACACATCACGGCTGTCATTTTCTATGACCTTTCCTTAGTCAGTTTCATAGAAAGTGGCCTTTCTCACTAAAAGTTTGTTACTTGGCCATCTGTTTGCTTCCATGAATGTGACCGTATTTAGTGCTTTTCCTTAGGATTCCAAGTGGGTTGAAGAGAAGCAGCTGCTCATCAGAACAAACCAAGACTTGCTGGAAAAGGTGCGTGACCCGCCTCAGGGAAGCACAGAGCCCCAGGGCAGTTGGGACCCCGCAGGCCTGCTCAGACCACACGGGTCATGCCCAGCGCCATTTGGGTACTCTGGTGACCAGGGCCTCAGGGCCTGCACGCCTCTTATGAGGAGAAATGTCCTCCTCACATGGAATCAAAGCCACATCCATGGTTCTGTCCTCTGCGACCAGGTCTGCAGAGTTGGTTTAGATCATCCTCCTGGGGTACGCCACAGAAATGCAGAGGCCTGGCCTGTCTTCCCAGGCCACCCTGCAGAAATGGGGAGGGCTGGCCCCAACCTCTGGGGACACCCTGCAGAAACGTGAAGAGCTGCCCTGTCCTCTGGGGACAGCCTGCAGAAATGGGGAGGGCTGCCCCGTCCTCTGGGGACACCTGCAGAAATGTGAAGAGCTGCCCTGTCCTCTGGGGACAGCCTGCAGAAATGTGAAGAGCTGCCCTGTCCTCTGGGGACACCTGCAGAAATGGGGAGGGCTGGCCTATTGTTGGGCTGGTCCATCTTCCTGACATTGGGCTCCAGGCCACCTCTGCTGTGGCTTTATGGTCCAAAGCCCTTCACCCACCAGTGTGGTGGGCACCCGAGGCAGGTCCATGGGCAGATCCTCAGGCCATCTTTACCCAGTGCAGCTGACCCATAATGGGAACTGGGCCTTTGTTCTTCTCTTTCTGGTTGTGGAACTTTCCAGAGCTCTCGGGGAGTCTGCTTGGGGGTAGCTCTAATGCTTTGGAATTAAAATCGTAGCTTATCTTTTCCTAATTGGTGTACAATTCACTTATTCCTTTTGTAAATTTACTGTGTTGTGCAACCATCACCACAATGCAGTTTTGGAACATTATCGGCCTGGTAAAGACCCCTCCTGCCCATGGGCAGTCCCCCCTCTGCCCTGCCTCCCGGCCCCTGGCAGCCTCCAGTCCACTCTGTCTCTGGATGTTGCAAGTAAGTGGAGCCAGACCCTAGGTTAGGCCTCAGCTTTTGAGCGTCCTGGAGCACGAGGACTGGAGGAACCTGGCCTGGTCCTGGTGGGGGGCCTCGGCCCAGCCGCCTCTCTGCTGCTAACCAGCATGTGACCCCATTCCCTTCCCTACATTTCTCAAGAGCGTTTGGGACAAGGGCATTTGGGACGGCAAGCAGTCCCAGGCCTTGGGAGAATTTTAGCATCTTTGGTGTCTTGTTCACTAAATTCTGGGAGCCATGGAAAGCCCTCACCTCACCCCTCATGCCATTTCTAAAGGTCTCCCGGGGGTGGGATCACCTGGCAGAGGGCCCACTCTAGCCTTCTGTAATGGTGCTATAGGGCCCGCTCTAGCCTTCTGTAATGGTGCTATAGGGCCCCGCTCTAGCCTTCTGTAATGGTGCTATAGGGCCCGCTCTAGCCTTCTGTAATGGTGCTATAGGGCCCGCTCTAGCCTTCTGTAATGGTGCTATAGGGCCCCGCTGTAGCCTTCTGTAATGGTGCTATGAGGCTTTCTTTACTCAAAGCCCTCATTTACTTACGTTATTTTAGTGACTTCTCGCTGCTGCCAGGTGATAGGTGCTACTGTTTCTCTTCTTGGACAGAAGCTGAGGGCTGGAGTAGTTGGCTAAGTGATCCAGCATCTCCCAGCTGGGACTGGGATGCAGGCAGTGTCACTTCCCACACTGATCTGCACTCTCAGAGAACTCTTGCCTTTACGGCTTCTTCTGCAAGCTCTGTGGGGAAGCAGGAGGGGGCCTCCCTGCCGCAGTTGGCTGGGCCGCTGTCTGGGTAGGCTGAATCTGGTGGGGCTTGAGTTGGAAAGACCTGGACAGGCTTTGGGTGTGGCACTCTTGCTTCCCAGTGTTTGGCCGCAAGGGAGGGACTTAATAGCCCCATGCCTCAGTTTCCCCATCATTCATTTATTCAGCAAATATATAAGTAGCCCCTACTCCACTGGGCCAGGCTCAGAGGTGCAGGGGTGAACCTGGCCCAGCCTCTGTCTCCTTCATTCCCAGATGCATCAGCAAGAAGGACCTGCAGCACCTGCCTCCCTTGCTACAAACCCTGCCCTCTCCCGCCCCTTGCCCACATGGCCGGTCCTCTGCTTCCCTCCAGCCACTCAGTCAGGTGGCCTGTGACCAGGGGACCCCAGTGCTCCCGCCCATCCTGTTAATCCGTAGGTGTCTTTGCTCTAGATTTACAGACTGGAAATGGAAGAGAACCAGCTGAAGAACGAAATGCAAGACGCCAAGGATCAGAACGAGCTGTTAGAATTCAGAGTGCTAGAACTCGAAGTAAGAGACTCTATCTGTTGTAAGCTCTCAAACGGAGCAGACATTCTCTTTGAACCCAAACTGAAATTCATGTAAAGCTCCCAGACGTTTTCAAGCATGTGGAAAGGGGACATGTTCTAGTTTCTTTCTTTCTTCTTTCTTTCTTTTTTTTAAATCTGTATGTTCAGAATAATTTCACTGCCTTAATGTGTTCTGGAGAGAGTGCCCACCCAAGTCTATGGACATGTACCAGAGCTAATATATTTATTGCCTATGGCTTGTTTTGCACTTAATAAAATAATTTGTTTTTGCAATATTTTGCCTTTTTTATTTGTGTTTCATTTCCATAACTACTTCTTTCCTGCATGCATAGTCACCGGGTACGCATTCTGCACACCCAGACAGAAGCACTGTTGCAATTAATAACACACCTTTTTAAGTGATCTTGCATGCAGTAAATCTCACCTTTTGAAATAGCAGAGTCTGACCTGAGCCAGCAATTGACTCTAGAATGTGTTTAATGCCAGTTTGGGCTAATTTTCTATTTGCCAAGGTAAACACAAGGTAAGTAAAGACAGGGTAGAAGGATGTATTTGCATAGGCGTTTAAGAAAACTAGTTACGTTGTTCAAACTCTTTTATGCAGTAAATACAGACCCAGGCATTGCAGCAATATTGGGCTAAAGAAATTACTATTTGCAACTCAAACTGCAACTCAAAACTACTGGAGGGAGATCAGTTGCTGTTCACGTGTAGAAATCCCGTTCCTTCGGGAACTGCCCCAATGCACCGAGTGAGATTCAGTGAAACAATACTAATGGTCTTACTGCTTCCAACTGAAATCTTACCTCGGGTGTGTTACTGTATTGCCTTGCTCTCATGGTACGTCATAATCCTTCTTTTTGTTTCTGTTGAAAAATCATTGGCATTTTAAACATCACTTAAGTTTGTGATGAGTTTCTCTAAGCACCTGTAGTGGCGCGGCTCTGCTCTCTCTCAGCTGAAACCTTTGCATGCGTGAAACCCTCAAAGTGAGCACCCTCACAGTGTCTGTGGCTTCCCCAATTTTGTTTTCTCCTCCCGGCTTGAGTTACAATTCTGTCTGCATTAGAACTGACCATGTGTACCTTGTTGTGTGGGCAGGGACCTGTGGCCTGAGTATTTCTCACACCAAGTGTGACTCAGCTCTTGGCTCAGCATGACATGAGCATTTTATTTGTGCGGCAGAATTGGAAGTTATGTGAGATCATTGTTAATACTCCTGCCGCTGTTAGAGAACCTTTCACAAATCCTTGTTATGAGTCTTTCTCATGAGAATTCTATAGGCACTAACCAGTTCACTAAAGTTTTCTTTAATGGTCTCCACCCTCCTACAGAACCACCAGAAACAAAATGGCCTTTTTTTTTTTTTTTTTTTTGAGACGGAGTCTGGCTCTGTCACCCAGGCTGGAGTGCAGTGGCGCGATCTCGGCTCACTGCAAGCTCCGCCTCCCGGGTTTACGCCATTCTCCTGCCTCAGCCTCCCGCGTAGCTGGGACTACAGGCGCCCGCCACCTCGCCCGGCTAGTTTTTTTTGTATTTTTTAGTAGAGACGGGGTTTCACCGTGTTAGCCAGGATGGTCTCGATCTCCTGACCTCGTGATCCGCCCGTCTCGGCCTCCCAAAGTGCTGGGATTACAGGCTTGAGCCACCGCGCCCGGCCTTTTTTTTTTTTTTTGAGACAGAGTCTTGCTCTGTCACCCAGGCTGGAGGACAGTGGTGTGCGCTCTGGGCTCACTGCAACCTCTGCCTCCTGGGTTTGAGTGATTCTCCTGCCTCAACCTCCCTAGTAGCTGGAATCACAGGCACACACCTCCTCACTCAGCTAATTTTTGTGTCTTTAGTAGAGACAGGTTTCACCGTGTTGGCCAGGCTGGTCTCAAACTCCTGACCTCAAGGGATCCACCTACCTCAGCCTCCCAAAGTGCTGGGATTACAGGCATAAGCTACCATGCCCGGCCTACAAAATGACTTTTGTTCATATAAAATCTGAGCTTTTGGGGCCACTTTTTCTATGGAGACGCCATTTAAGTAAATTTGCTGATACAAAGGCATCTGTGGAATGGAACCATCATGAATTTTTTTTTTTTTTGACTAATAAGGGGAAATAGGGTTTTCTTACTAGACTGTTTCAAACCTAGTTTAGTCAGGTTAGGGCTTCATGGAAATTAATTGAATTACTACCCAGTCCTCCCTCTTTCCTTCAGTCTCACTCCAGAGCATCTTCTTAAGCCCTGCCGTCTAGATTCGTGCCTCTCTTGGCTACATCTCTTTGTTGAATTATTCAAGACACCCATTGGTTCCGTAGCTAGATTCTGCTAGAATGGCCCAAAGTGTGTTATTTTGTACCTTACTGTAACTTTGCTCAAACCAAAGCAGTTTGATTGAAAGGTGTAATTTGCAAAGGTCTTCTCTGCTGCCCCGCCATGACAAATCTGTCCATCGCTAAAGTGTTTAAAGTGCGTTCTGTGCAGGAAACACATCTGAGACCTGAGTCCTGTTCTGCCTCTGTGCTTTAGCCTTGTAAGTAACTAGGTTTTCCCGACCTTTTAAAAACTCATCACTTATGTATGATTAATAAATACCTATTTTGGGAAAAGACTTGCTCTTCTTCCTCCCTTAGTAATTGAGCTTTGCTGTAAGTCTAAGGCAGGGGTAGAACGATCACTGGTTATGCTAGTTTGGTTCAAAAAAAATTGTGAATGTTATTGGCAGATTGTACTGGAAAGAACAGAAAGTCAGCCTTTGGGGCCGGGCGAGGTGGCTCACGCCTGTAATCCCAGCACTTTGGGAGGCCGAGGTGGGCGGATCACCAAAGGTCTTTGGAGTTCGAGACCAGCCTGGCCAACGTGGTGAAACCCCGTCTCTACTAAAAACAAAACAAAACAAACAAAAAAAAAAAACAACAACAACAAAATTAGCCCGGCATGGTGGCGCATGCCTGTAATCCCAGTTACTTGGGAGGCTGAGGCAGGAGAATCGCTTGAACCTCAGAGGTGGAGGTTGCAGTGAGCCAAGATTGTGCCATTGCACTCCAGCCTGGGCGGCAAGAGCGAAAAAAGAAAGAAAGAAGGAAAGAAAGAAAGAAAGAGAGAGAGAGAGGGAGGGAGGAAGGGAGAGAAAGAAAGAAAGAAAAAGAGAGAGAGAAAGAAAAAGGAAAGAAAGAAAGGAAGGAAGGAAGGAAGGGGAGAGAGAAGAAAGAAAAGAAAGGAAAGAGAAAGAAAGAAAGAAAGAAAGAAAGAAAGAAAGAAAGAAAGAAAGAAAGAAAGAAAGAAAGAAAAGAAAGAAAGAAAGAAAAAAAAAGAAAGTAAGTCAGCCTTTGGGTCCTCAGAGTGCAGGACCTCAGACTCAGCCTCCCTGAGCCACTGCCTCCCCTTTGTCTACAGAATGAAAGCAATGAGCCTGCCTCCTGGGGTTGTGTGAGGATTAAACGGGAGAGTGGTGTGCCTGGCACAGGGTAATAAACCATAGTTGGCGGCTTTTGCTATCTATTCAAATTTAGTGCAACTGTGTTTTTTAAATTTTGTAATTCTGTGACTTCGCAATGGATAAAGCCATGGTACCCTGTTAACCATTTCTCCCTAGATGAATAGGTAAGAAGTAAACACATTTCCAAAGGAGAACTGCTGCGTGGGAAGGCGTGAAAACGTCGTAGTTCACGGACGAGGCTGCTTCTAGTCCGAACTCGCGCTTTTTAGTAACATCTGTGCCCACTGGAATTCCTTGATTTTTGCTGAGTAACGTGGGAAAATGGCAAGCGGTAAATAATCCGGTCACATTCTGTTTTTAAACCGAATCTTTTCCCCAGGAGAGAGAGAGGAGGTCGCCAGCATTTAACCTCCAAATCACCACCTTCCCTGAGAACAACAGCAGCGCTCTCCAGCTGTTCTGTCACCAGGAAGGAGTTAAGGTAGCGTGCCTGGGGGGTGCCTCTGCTAAATGCCAGCCAAGGGCTTGCTCCGTGCCCGGCTCAGTTGTAAAGGGGGAGTGCTGGGATAGAATTGATTTTCATGAGATACCCCTTGTGTTAAAAGTCATAGTTTGACCATTTATTAAGGGGTCACCAAATGTGACTCTATTTTGACCCATGTGTTTAAAACAGCAGAGGCTTGGTGTATTGCCCCGAGGGTGAACCCCAGCTCCACCGCTGCTCTGGCCTGTAAACTTTCTGAGCCTTAGCCTCTTCGCTATGAAATCCAAATGACAATACCCACACCATGAAGCTGGGGTGATGATGAAATCAGATCATGAACAGACGCCAAGTGCCTGGCCCTGTGCCTGGCATAGCAAGGTTCTGTAGAGGGTGACTGTGGTGGCTAGAAGGGTCCGGGGTTTGCCATGTCCTAAAGCCCTGCTCAGCTCCAGGGACAGTGTCCTGACTCACCCAGTTCCATGGCCCTTCTAGAAAGCAGTGTTTGTGCTGGTGTAACACTCAGCAAATGAGCAGCAGTTATGCCTTCTCTCCCTCACTCCCCAGAGGAACGGCTGGGCACAAAACTTGGCCGGAAAAGAAAAGAAAGAGCACGGTGTCTTGTCGAGAGGAAAGGCCGTGGCCCTAGAAATTGGTGTGGTTGGTCTCTGTAGCTCACACAAAAATGAACGTTGGAAATCTCTTCCAGGATGTGAATGTTTCTGAACTTATGAAGAAATTAGATATCCTTGGCGATAACGGGGTAACTATGAGCGATCGGTTTCTGCTTTCGTGTTCTTGTTTTGATCTGGGTGTATTCTGTGTGACTTTCGTTTTGTTTTGTTTTTTTTTTAAATTTCTCTCTGATATAAGAGATCTAAGAAGTACAATGTAAGGCTTTTGTATGGCCATGTTCCTGGGTGGGTGGAGGGGTTGGTATTCGTCAGAAGTGGGGTTCTGAAGTTAGGTTCCCCTGGCCTGTGAGTGAGGAGGGGATGGGAAGGCCTGAGAACCCCTACCCAGAATGCAGGTGGAGTCACATGAGATTTCTGAAATCAGAAAGGGATCTTTTGGCTATCCTGAAAGATGAACTTGAATGTAGCCATGTTTCACAAAAGCTTAGTGTCACTCTGTGAAATGTCCCCAAACAGAGGGACAGGAGCTGTGTGCCTGATGTGCTGGCCCCATTAGCGAGAGGGAGCTGACCCTCGGGTGCAGCTCGGAGAGAAGCTAAGAAAGTTGCTTGGTGTTGGCCGGGCATGGTGGCTCACGCCTATAATCCCAGCACTTTGGGAGGCTGAGGTGGGCGGATCACCTGAGGTCAGGAGTTCGAGACTAGCCTGGCCAACATGGTGAAACCCCATCTCTACTAAAAATACAAAAACTATCCAGGCGTGGTGGTGTGCATCCCAGCTACTGTAATCCCAGCTACTCGGGAGGCTGAGGCAAGAGAATCACTTGAACCCAGGAGGCGGAGGTTACAGTGAGCCAAGATCACACCACTGCACTCGAACCCAGGTGACAGAGACTCTGTCTCAAAACAAACAAACAACAACAAAAACAAACAAAAAAACTTGGTGCTGACTGTCTGCACGTGGATTTGGGATCCAGTGTCAAATGCCCTTGCCCATTTTTGTGTTTTAGAATTTGAGAAATGAAGAACAGGTTGCAATAATCCAAGCTGGAACTGTGCTTGCCCTGTGTGAAAAGGTAGAAGCCAGCGGCATTTCTGTGCTCACACCTTGTCCCGGCTTCCCAGCACCATACAAGAAACTGTACATTGGCGTCTTGCTTTGCGTGGGAGCATGCATTCCAGTCCGTCTGCGTCTGCACGTGCCCGTGCATGCCTTTCCGTTTTCTTCATGAAGAAAGTCCCACATGCTCGCTGTAGAAAACCCAGAGATGCAGGAGGAAATCAAAACCCGGTGGAGGAAACCGTCTGTCACATTTGTGTGTTTCCTTCCAGTGGTTTCCCTGTGTCTGTTGTTTTTAAACTTAGTCGAAATGATGCTTGACATCCGGTTTTCAATCAGGCTTTAGAAGCATCCTCCATGCCATTTAACATGGTTCATAAATGTGTTTAAATGACTGTGCATCTCTCCATCACACAGTTATACTGTTAGTTACTGAAGCCCCTCTTAGCTGTTAGATATCACAGGTGTTTCCACTTTTTTTTTTCCTTACAATCATGCAGTGGTAAACTGCACATTTTTTACACATAAATTTCTATCTACATCTTAAAATACGCCCATAGGATATGTTTTAGAAGCAGAATCACTGGGCCAAATAGTAAGAATGTCTTGAAGGACTTCGGCATGGTCAAAACAGTGTCCAGAAAAGCGGCACCAGTTACCCTTCTACCCACAGCCTTACACGTCGTTGATTGATGCTTGACATGGCATGTTACCGCTGCCGAGTACTTTGTCGATTGGATGGTGAAAACTGTATCATGTCATTGTTTTAATTTTTATTTGAGTGCTAGTAATACTGAGGTTTTTTTGTATGTATTATCTATTTTCTTCTCCTTCCTTGTGAATTGTAATTGCATTTATTTTGAGGGTTTTCCATTGGATTTATTCACCCATCCATGCATTCATTCATTTGACAAATATGTATTCATTGTCATTGTCTTTCTTACTGACTTCTCTGCGTGCTTTACATATTAAAGATATTAGCTTTTTGACCTGTTTGTTACAAAACACATTCCCGATGTGTTTGCCTTTTACATTGGTTTAGGGTGTGTTAGAAATACACAACTGTTTAGGGCTAAAGACCTTTTCCTTTCAAAGCGCATGAGTTCAACTTTAAAATGCTATTTTTGCAGTGATGAGGTCTTAATGATCTTAGTTGGGATTCATTCCTGAATCTCTGGAAGGGCATTTAAACTAGAAATAGTATCCTTCCCAGGGCATTTGTTCAATCCCTCAATCAAGTAAAGGATACTAAATGTTGGTAACAGATTTATGGCCAAACCTTGCCCAAGGTCACACTGGTAGGCAGTGAGAGGATTGGAACTCAGCTTTCTCCTATTCCTATCATCACTAAACCTGGCTGAGCTTGTGTCCTCAGGTGAACTGCGGGACGGGGATGACTCACATCTGGCCGGCTGGTGGCCATCAGGTGCAGGTGCAGGTGCAGGTGCAGGCATGGGGTGGGGCACATGAGACACATTCAGCACACCTTCCTTTCCAGCAGCAAAACCCTCCATGGCTGTCTAGGCTCCTCCAACAGTGCTCCGTGTAGAGTCACACAAAGTGCTGATTAAACACTTATGACGTTTATGACTCAGTTTACTCAACATCCACTGGAACATTTACTGAGAGAGAGCATCTTAGTGTCAAGTGCTGAGCACAGCCCTGGTAGACGTGGAGATGTCACATCCACCAGTGTCTGATTTGATGTCGGGGAGGCCTCTCCTGACTTGGGTCTTGGTGACACCACTTGCCAGCTGCAGGGGTTTCAGCCGGTTTCTCACCACGTCTCTCTCAGCCATGACACTGAGCATCCTGGTGGCTCACAGTCTCTGTCGGAATCCACGAGGCTGCATATTTCAGTGGCATCAGGCATTGCCATCTGGTTCAGTCAGGCACCTGGGGCCATGCTTACTTCCTGGAGATGCTTGGTCAATGCCTGTGGATCGGGTGAGCAAGGAGCAGGAACCTGCCAGTGACTCAGGGGGCTGGTTCGTCACGGGGCTGGGGCAGAGGGCGTTGGAGGGCCAGGGCGCCAGCTGGCAGGAGGCTTCCAGCCTCCGTGAGAGCAGCCCTCTGCAGGGCGCTGAGTTCTCCCACCTGAGCCATTCCTGATGCACCCCTCCCCACGCCCAACCCACAGCAGGTGTTCCAGGCCCGCACCTTAGGTCCCCAGCGCTCCTCATCCTCTGGGCATCTGTGAGATTAGCAGCCCTCTAGGACAGATGAGGAGGGGGAGCCTGTCTGGGATCCGGCCACTGTCTGCTTGACCCTCACCATGCTGTGCTTGCCTGGCAGCTGCCGACCTCCCCGCTTGCACCCTGCCCACCCCCACCGCCGCCCGCCTGCCCCTGCCCACTAACCTCCCCAAGCCGGTCAGCCTGGTGCCGTGCCTTGTGCCCTACACACTAGAGAGCCATGCCGGCTGCCCTAGTCTGCCAGCCCCTCACAACCCCTACTGATGGTTATGGGGCCCCGATTCTGAGCCTGGCACAGAGGTGCCCAGCTCCCTGTCTTTGAGGACTGGACTTAAACCATGGTTTTCTCAGGTTGGGTTCTAGGAGACACTGGCCCTGCCATTTGTCTGTGGATAAAGGTCCACTAAGCTTGGGAGTTGCCACTTGTCTTCTCCCAGCCTTGTTGGTGTGAGAGCTCCTCAGGTCCAGAAGTGGACCCTCATGTGGGGTGGGAACTGCATCAGCAGGACCCTCTGAGAATCTGGCAGGACCACTAGGGGACTGACGGTCTGCTTTGCCTGGGACTGACAGCTTTCCTGGGACGTGAGAATTGCAGTGCTAAAAGAGGGACAGTCATGGGCCAACAGGGACAAGCTGGTCACCCTAGAGCCGACAGGCACTGCAGGGAAGTTTGCAGAGGGGGAGGGCACCTGCAATGTCACTGCCAGAGAAGGCTTTCACAGACAGGCCCAGTTAACCCCCATGCCACTAAATACTCCTTATTTTAAAAATTGTCATTCCATACTAGTATCCGAATAAGCGGAAGTCAATGTCAATGTTCCCTTAGAGGCATGAATTTTTTTTTTTTTTTTTGAGACTGAGTCTCACTGGTTGCCCAGGCTGGAGTGCAGTGGCATGATCTCAGCTCATTGCAACCTCCACCTCTAGGGTTCAAGCGATTCTCGTGCTTTAGCCTCCTGCAGCTGGGATTACAGACATGTGCCACCATGCCTGGCTAATTTTTGTATTTTTAGTAGAGATGGGGTTTCTCCATGTTGGCCAGGCTGGTCTCAAACTCCTGACCCCAAGTGATCTGCCCGCCTTGGCCTCCCAAAGTGCTGAGATGACAGGTGTGAGACACCTCACCTGGCCTTGAAGCCCATTTCTCAGTGTGTAGGTGAAGTGCAACCTGAAGGAGTGTCCTATGATGTGCCTGTGTTGATTTCCCTGCAAACAGCATCTTGCACCGGGCACGTGCCTTCCTCATCTCCACCCACGGAAGCCCTGCCCAGTCATCGAGGCACAGGCATCCATCCTGGCACCCGTCAGCCCCACTCCGGTTAGCCACGCATAGGATCAGGGCAAGGTCTCACTCGCCTCAGCACATGGCACGTGCCCTGCAGAGAAACTGAACCATGAGACATTGGAGGGTTTATAAATCATAGCAGTCATATCTCTTCTCCCTCAAGTTCAGAGTGGATCGAGAAAAAGACACTGGCCTCAGCCAGGTGGGAATGCCTTAAAGGCCGTGTGTTCGCTGGTAACGATGGATAGGAGAATGAGGCATAGGTCTGAGCCATAGTCAGACTTTCTAATAGCTGGCCCCGAGTTGAAGCCTTGGGACCCTCCCCAAAGGGAGAGGAGAGAGATGAGCCCCACCAGTTGCAGGGGATCTAGGCTCTGCACCTGAGGGGTCCTGGGAGTCGGGGCACAGAGAGCGGCCCCCAGCCTGCAACAGGCCACCCCCATGAGGCTGCTCAGATTCCCATTAGCACCTCCCTGTGGGTGGACTCCCTTCTCCTCCCCAGCCTGAGACCCCCTCTCCTGGGGTTGGAGCATAACCATGAACATTGTTTCTCCCAGGAGTGACTGAGGCCCCATAGCTCTCTGGCCAAACTCTTTGATATTAAATTTCTGATCTCACGTGGCCGGGGGTCCTCATGGCCAGCTCGCTCTTCTCTTGTGTTCTCTCCCAGTTGCTAAAAAGGTCTTGTTAAATTTATTTTTTATATGCAAGTTTTTAAACGACAGCAACAACAAAGCTCAACACTGTGTTCTGTAGAAACCGTTCTGAGAGTAGCTTGTTGTCATCATCCAAAAATGGATTTACCGTTTTCATTTCATTCATTTTTTGACTGCTTGCATGAGGATGTTAAAAAGGAAATACCTGTAACTCCTCATCCAAAATATGCTTATCTGTTTCTAAGAAAACACGCATCTTGTCTGAGCCTTGTTTGAGGAAGTGCCGGCCACCGCGGCTGGCACAGGGTGCTGGGTGCTGCCTCCGTGGCTTGTACTGGAGTATATACTGGGGGCCGAGCTCACGGTGACGTTAGAGAGGGAGTTCTGTGACAGTACTCGATCAGTTCTAGTCCCATCTGTACAGACAGCACACACCACACCAACCTGCACACCCTCGATTCTCCTTCATTCAACAGAAGTTTATTAGGCACCTGCTTGTGTCAGGCCTTGTGCCAGTCAAGGAAGTCCAACAGGAGGTAAACATGGTCCCCACCTTCAAGGGGGGCAGCAGGGTGAAACAGACAACAGCGCCTGTCAGGTGAGTGCTGTGACCAGACATTCACAAGGTGACTGACATGGGCACCATGGAGGGTAACTGACCCCATGGACTCAAGCAGGGTAGGCTTCCTGGAGGAGGTGACAGCTAGCTCAGGGCCTAAAGACTGAGTGATGCTAGCTCAGTAAAGGCCTGGGGCTGAGGCTGGGGCCAGGAGAGGTAGGGACGGCACAGGGAAAGGCTGGGCATGTTCGAGGAGCTCTGTGTAGTTAGGATGACCAGGGCCCGGGATTTCAGCAGGGACAGGAGAGTGCTGACTGATGAGACTGTGAGCATTGCAGAGGCCACCCCACGCTGGGGCCTTGCCAGTGTTGTCAGGAGTGAGGGGATGTCTTTGGAGGGCTCTGAGCAGAGCAGGGAGGTTCCATGAGCCCATGTGTGGTTTTTAGGGAACTTGCTGGCTGGGGGGCAGAAAGGGATTTGTGGTGTGTGGGGAGGTTTCAGATATGAACCTGGGGGCCGAAAGGGGAATGGGGGGTTTGTGATGGGGAAGGAGTGCTGTGTGTGGGTTTGAGAACCAGAAGGAGGTGAAGCCAGTATGTTGGAAGTGGACGGAAGGAAGGAGGGGGCACTCTTCCCCATCAGGGGTCCTGGCAGGCCCTGGAGATTCCTTGAGACTTGGGAGTGGAGGGGTGCAGGAGGCAGCGGCACACAGGGTGTGGTGGGGCAGATCTGGGTGGGAGACATTTCAGAAAGGGTAGGGAGGGTGGATCCCGGGGGGAGGGCAGAGTAAGGTGGGGAAGGCGGAGGGCAGGGCTCCAGGACCTCACAAGGGCAGGGTGACCTCATGAGGGTAACCAGCTGCTGCCAGAGGAGGGGGAAAGAAAGGAGTACAAGGAAACTAGGGGATCCTGGGGTCAGGAAAGGAGGCTTTCTGCAGCTGGGGCCTGGAGTTAGGAAAGGGGGTGCTCCACAGCCGGGGCCTGGGGTCGGGAAAGAGGGAGCTCTGCGGCTGGGGCCTGGCAGCGGGAGGCCATCCAACAACCTGAGCAATGAGGAGGTCAGTGGTGTTGTCAAGCCCGGACATCCCTTGGTGCCTTGACCTCCCCGCAGCCCTCCCCCACATGGCAGCCCCCCTGTGCTGGCCTGGACTTCCTCCCATCTTAGGGGCTCCTCATAGAGACACATCTGCATATGATACCTGCTTCCGTGCTCACCCCCAGCCCAGACCCCAGAGGGAACGTGGACAGAGCTCCCACTCCCTTACCTGGCACTCAGGTGCACGCCCTACCTGTTTGCCCCCTATTCTGTGCCTGCACCCTCATGTCCTGGCACGAACCCTGCTTTCATGCTCCTACACCCCCTATCCTGTGTGTGATTCCACTTCCTCTCATGGTGGCACCAGGCACTCTGGGCTGCTCCAACTCACGTTGCTGGAGGGATGAGGGCTTTGGCGTCCTGCAGGCTGGGTTCCAAGTCTCCATTCTGCACCTGTGTGACCTTGGACAAGTTACTTAACTTAGCCTCCATGTCTTTACCTGCAAAATGGGGGTGATGCTGCCTACTGCATGGGGTGGTCGTAAGAGGGTCAGATGAGGTCTCCTGAGTGAAGCATCAGCACAGAGCAGGCACTCTGTGACATCAGCTACACCACGCCACTTCCTCTGCTGTACACACTCGCAGCCGTCCACACTTGGGTCCACCCAGGCTCTGAATCCAGCTTCCACACCACGTACATGTCACACTTACACCTATGACCTCCTGCACATACAGGCTGGACCATGCACACACAACCACACCATCCGCAGGTGCAGGCATGTGTGTGCCGTGACGTGATCCATTCCTGAGCACACCCTGAAAAAGCCGATCTATGAAATTCACACACCTGTGAAATTCCAGGGCCCGTTGGGTTCTGACTCTCACTTTGCTGCACCCCTCCTGTCCCTGCTGTTTTCTAGTGGCTGAAGCAAATAGAGGGGACCGAGGCTGCCCTGACCCAGAAGATGCTGGACCTGGAGAAGGAGAAGGTAAAAGATTTGACTGCCTGGGGGTGGGGGGAGAGGGTTCGAAGAGCAAAGTCGATTGCAGGAAGGCTTTGCATGTGTTTTCCTAATGATTTGCATGCATTTCTCAATTTTGCTTTTGCCCCAGTGTTTGTTCTGAGTAATTATCACCCATTTACTTACTCTTTCACTTGCTCAGTTACTCATTGAATACCTATTTTCAGAACCTCTGCTGTGTCCCAGGTGCTATGCCAGGATTAGAGGCTTGGTAATGAATAAGTGGGGTCCCTGCCACCAGGAGCAAGCTCACAGGCCTGCAGGGTCGTGCGGTCATGAGCTCCTGTGAATGCAGCGTGAGGATGTTAGGAGAGACACAGCCCAGATATTGAAATGCTGGCGCAGTGACTCTAGGAACACACGGGCAGGGCTCAAACCTTTGCTGGCCATGAAAGCTTGGGAAACTGGACTTTAGTTTTCTCATTGATGAACAGGAAACTCCAATCTGTGCTTTGCTGGGCTGTGGGATGAGAAATGCTAGGTACATAGCCAGGGTTGCACTGTGCTTGGCACCTTGGGTACCTGATAAATGGTGGTGGAGGTTATTCACTGGGGTTATGGATGTATGGAGAGCCTGGGGAGGACAGAGAAGGTTTCCCAGAAGACGTGGTTCTTGAGTAGTCAAAGGCCGATTCGAGTTCTCCAAGGAGAAATGGAAATGGGAGGAGAAGGAGGAAGGTGGAAGGACTCGTGGGGCCTAGGAGCAGGGAGTGGTGCGGAAAGAGCCCTGACTGGGGCCAGAAGGCCTGGGTTTCTACTCCCACCTCTGCCATCACCGAACTGCGGCATCTAAGGTGAGGCTCTGGTCCTCCCTGGCTCTTTCCTTCCTTGTCTATAAAAGGAAGTGGCTACAGGAGATGAACTCTAACCCTGAAACCCGCAAATCAGTCATAAGAAGAGATTTGCACTCTGGAGAGATCAGGCTTGCCGGGTCTTAGAGAGTGATCCAGGGACATGGGAGGCAGTGAGAAGTGTGCTCAGTGAGACCGATCGGGAGGTGGGTGAGGCAGTTCAGGCAGGAAGAAAGAACCACATCTGGGACCATGAAGACAGTCTTCTGGGGCCACTAAGACGCAGCAGGAGGAACCCAGAGGGACTCCTGTGAACTGTGCCTGGGTTTGACGTGGGTCCCTTCTTTACAGTCAGGTACCCAAGAGGAAGGGAAGCAGGAGGAAGGGGATAGTCGACCGAGGATCCATGTGGGGCTGTCAAGGGTGCCCCGGGTCAGTGAGGCTCCCGCTGGGCGATTCACGTGGGGCAAACAGGGAAGACCACCAAGTCCCTTCTCATCTGAGTGCCCCCAATTCGGTGAGACTGCCACTGTCTAGCACACGGGCTCTGAAGCTGTCATGGATTCCTGTTCTGACGCTGGTCCCTGATGGCGCCTCCCTCTTTCTCAGGACCTGTTCAGCAGGCAGAAGGGCTATCTGGAAGAGGAGCTCGACTACCGGAAGCAAGCCCTTGACCAGGCTTACCTGGTAGGACCAGAAGTGGGTTTGACACTTTGGATTCCTAGACTCCACATTAGAGGCTGCTTTTCCCTCCGGGGCTGACACTGCATTTAGGGTGCTCCCCAATGCCAAACAGGAGCGACAACAATGCCATCTCCACCGTGTGGCTGGAATGACTGTACAGATGGTCCCTTTTCCCAAATCAATCGTGATTTTCAAAAATATTCAAAGTTACTTTAATGGTTTTCTTAGACATGCTTCTTAAATTCTAGTAATCATTTGGGATGAATGGGAAGAACCTCTATTTCTTATATGTTTGATGATACTTAAATAGTTGGACTTAAAGTCCCAAAGCAAGTTTTCCCATAAATAGGAAAAAGAGATGATCACAAAGGAACGCAGAGGTAAAGCAATTAGATGAGGCCAGGTGATTTTCAGAACCGAAGGGACGAGGTGTAAGGTTGGATGTAATATCGCATTTGGCTTGCAAAATTGGTTCTGTGCATCCTGGTGATTAAAGTACAGTGAGATGATGTTCAGGGTCCTGTGTCCTCACACTCAAAGCTAAGTGCTCCTGGCACTGAGAGAAATTCTCCTTGGGGGAGGCGGGGAGTTGAGTAAGATCATGGAAACGTGTCTCTGCAGGAGAGAGAATTTAGAGTTCAATGCCGTTCCTTGTAGGAAGAAGCTAGTGTGGTAGAGACTCTTGAGCAAATCTGTGCCCAGATCATTTGCAGTTAAAGTCATTTTACAAAAATGGGTTTGCACCTACAAAATGCAGAGCCAATCACTAAAAAAATGACTTTAAAACTCTGCTTCCCATGAGAGGCTCCAGGAAGACAGAGAGCAGGTAGCCTGGGCTTAGCTCAAATGGACAGGAGATTCTAGACGTGAAGGCTGGTGCAACTAGCTATGACCCTTGGCCCTTCCTGTCTAGGCTGTGAGGCTTGAATCCCTTCAGACTGAGAACAGGAGATGCAGACGATCAGAATGGACTAAGCCTTATCAAGACACATTTCCCTCTGGGCACACGATGTATCAGCAGTGTTGAGGGCAACTAACGAATGGAGACATTCTCATCTATACCCTGGTCTGTCTCCTGCCTCTCTAATCTTTTAGGTTTTTCCTTGTTTTGGTCCTGGCTTGGTCCTTTTGAAAACACCCTGCAGGATGGGCCATCCCTATCACACATCCCTGTTCTCCCCTAGCGTTTCCCAAAAAACGCCGAGGAATGTGATTGTAGATGGACCCTAGGGCCCTGCGAAGCGTAGCGCAATAGAGTAAGTTGGAAAACTCTGAAGGACCTCTTGGGGTCTTAGTGTGCTAAAGGGTGAGTCGAGGCTCTGAGAGGAATGTAAGCAAGCAGTGTGCCAAGTTCACTGGATCATTGGACCTTTTTTCAAAGGACATCTTGCAGAACTGGCATTTCTGAAAACACACTTCGGAACACCTTGGAGTCCACCCTTCCTTTGTCTAAGCACCAACTCAGGGAGGCCTGAGGGATCCCTCAGAGTGCTGACTCTGCAGAAGAGGCCCCTGCATGCTGGTTCTGCCACCATATAGAAGCTACCTTCACACTTGGAGTATTTGAAAGCCTGCCGTGGGCAGTGTGCTCCCAGTGGGATTTCAGTCGCACGGGTAGACAGGAGTTCTGATGCAGCTCTGGACTCTCATGAACAGTCAGGAAGTGAAATGCTCTGAGAGGGTGGCAGGGTCGTGTGTCCATGCTGGGGCCAGGACAGCAGGTGCCAGATGCAAGCCTGTGTCCCTTTGTCACTGAGCTGAGTGAGGTGGGGCAGGCCCGCGACGGGGTTTCCAGAATCAAGTGATGTGTTTCCATCTGGAAACTGGCCACGCGGGGGTCTCCTGGGAGCTTGGCTGCTGAGTAGAGAAGGGGTGAGCCTGCAGGCACCAGCAAGCTCTGCTCCATGTGGAGCCCACCTGGGGGCCCTGCAGCTCTGCCGGGAAACAGATTCCGGTCTTCTAATTCCCCAGGGGCAACCGTTGGGGTGGGCAGAGGTGAAGGTGATCATGTTTGTTGGTTAAAATCAGTCTGGCTCAATGGGCCTGGATCCCAGCAGGGAAAAGTCAGAGGAGACTTGAGAAGCAAGTGGCCTGATAGTGATGGAGGGCTACTGGGTTAGCCTCTGCCTCGGTGATGGAGGCCTACTGGGTTAGACTGCCTCGGTGATGGAGGGCTACTGGGTTAACCTCGGCCTCAGTGATGGAGGGCTACTGGGTTAGCCTCTGCCTCGGTGATGGAGGCCTTCTGGGTTAGACTGCCTCGGTGATGAAGGGCTACTGGGTTAACCTCGGCCTCAGTGATGGAGGGCTACTGGGTTGACCTCTGCCTCGGTGATGGAGGCCTACTGGGTTAACCTCTGCCTCGGTGATGGAGGGCTACTGGGTTAACCTCTGCCTTGGTGATGGAGGCCTACTGGGTTAACCTCTGCCTCGGTGATGGAGGCCTACTGGGTTAGCCTCTGCCTCGGTGACGGAGGGCTACTGGGCTAACCTCGGCCTCGGTGATGGAGGGCTACCAGTTAGCCTCGGCCTTGGTGATGGAGGGCTACTGGGTTAGCCTCTGCCTCGGTGATGGAGGGCTACCAGTTAGCCTCTGCCTCGGTGATGGAGGGCTACCAGTTAGCCTCTGCCTCGGTGATGGAGGGCTACTGGGCTAACCTTGGCCTCGGTGATGGAGGGCTACTGGTTAGCCTCTGCCTCGGTGACGGAGGGCTACTGGGTTAGCCTCTGCCTCAGTGATGGAGGGCTACTGGTTAGCCTCTGCCTCGGTGACGGAGGCCTACTGGGTTGACCTCGGCCTCAGTGATGGAGGGCTACCAGTTAGCCTCGGCCTTGGTGATGGAGGGCTACTGGGTTGACCTCGGCCTCAGTGATGGAGGGCTACTGGTTAGCCTCTGCCTCGGTGACGGAGGGCTACTGGGTTAGCCTCGGCCTCAGTGATGGAGGGGTACCGGTTAGCCTCGGCCTTGGTGATGGAGGGCTAATGGTTAACCTCTGCCTCAGTGGCATGTTTCTATTGAAACTCATGGTTCCTCTATACCACCTGTAGTTTCTTTGGAAGAGAAGTAGCTGTCCCTTAGTAAGGACTGTGGGTGGGGATTTAGGAAGGCAGAAAAGGAGCTAATTTTCTTTTGTCCCTAGACATTCCCATAAGATAGCTATATTTAAGTGTCTTGCTGTGAAAAGGAGTAACATCCTGTAATGATGAAAACTCAGCTTTTGCAGGGATCCCCAGTTGGTCACTAATGTCTCATTCAGCTTTGCCAACAAAGGGTGTCTTCCTTTTGTGAGGGGTTGGGGCAATTAAAACATTGCCACTATTTGCTTTGGGCTAGAGTTGCATTCTTAAGGCAGCTGAAAACCAAATGCAAATCCAGACATATTTTCCCATTGGCACCCATTAGAAAAGGGGAGATTTGTTCCCAAGGTGAGGAGAGTCGATTGGAAGCCAAGGATGAAATAAAACTCAGGTGACTTGCACCTCTGTTTGAGTCATGCATTTTAAGGGAAGGTTATGATTACTTTTTCTTCTTGTCCTTGTCCCCTCTTGTGCATAGTAGGGGCGTCTGGGTTGAATAGAGTAAAAAATGCTCTGGATAACATGTGCGTGGGGCCGAGTTGCTCCCTCACAGCCTGCTCCCCTGGGCACTGCTGGCCCTGTGCTTGGCCCCTGCCAGATGCCCCTCCCTGCCCAAAACCCCCTCCCTGACTCTGCCTCCACTGGCAGCAGCCTCCTGGTGGTTCCTGTTCACCTCCTTGTGACCTTCCTCTGTCTGTGTGATCTGGGCTCCTCAGAAAATCCAAGACCTGGAGGCCACACTGTACACAGCGCTGCAGCAGGAGCCGGGGCGGAGGGCCGGTGAGGCGCTGAGCGAGGGCCAGCGGGAGGACCTGCAGGCTGCTGTGGAAAAGGTGCGCAGGCAGATCCTCAGGCAGAGCCGCGAGTTCGACAGCCAGATCCTGCGGGAGCGCATGGAGCTGCTGCAGCAGGCCCAGCAGGTAGGCGTCAACAGCTGCTGTGCCCACAGCACCCCCGGCATCCCCGTCGTCCTGTGTGCACCTTGGCACCCTGATGGACCCCTGACTGCCCCAGGCTCTTTCCAGGGAGAGTTGGTGGTAAAGCAAGTTTCTAAGAAGCAAGATTTCATAGATGCCCGTCATAACTCCCTGTGATGGGGCAAGACATTCTATAGAGCAAACGCTGAAACATTCATCCAAACCAAGTGCCTTCTCCCTCGGCCCTCCTCCTCCAGCAACTGCACGCTGTTTCCAGGTCAGATGCTGGTCACAGGGAGGCATCAGCTGAATGGTTTGCTTTTTTGCTGCCTTTTGTGATGGTGGCTCATTTGAGGATTGGGCCTTCCAGCTTCCATTGAGGTCTGAAAACCTCAGTGGAACCAAGGTTCCATGTTGCATGTGAGTTTCATGTGCTACTGAGCACACGGGGAGCTGGGGGCTTCATGACTCCTGATTGACCGTGAAGGGAAAGAAGTAGCAGCATGCAGAGCATCTGTTGGGCGCTCACCGTGTGTTGGGCAGTGGCTCCCTGCACTGCAGATCCCTTATCTCAGGGACCCTACGGGTGGGCACTAGGATGTCCACTTTCCAGACAAGAGAACTGAGGCTCAGGAAGGTTAACTCATGTGACTGAAGGTCACCCAGATAGTAAGGATCTAGATTACTGGCGGGGAGGGATGTCACAGAAGGAAAAAAGAAGGGGGATGTGGTCAGAGAGAGAGAGAGAGAGAGAGAGAGAGAGAGAGAGAGAGAGAGAGTTTGACTTATTTTACGGAACTAGCTCACGCAACTGTAGATAAAGATCAGCAAGTTCACAATCTGCAGGGCACAGCAGAGCCCCAGGGAAGAGTTGTTGCAGTTCAAGCCTGAAGGCCATCTGCTAGCAGCATGCCCCTCTCCTCAGGGAGCTCAGTCTTTCTCTCAAGGCCTTCAGGTGATTGAATGAACACCCCCACACACATTATGGAGGCTCATCTGCTTCATTCAAAGTCTACTGATTTAGATGTTTATCTCATCTAAAAAAGACCTCCACAGAAACATCTAGTTTGTTTGTTTGTTTGTTTGAAATGGAGTCTCACTCTTATCACCCAGGCCAGAGTGCAGTGGCACGATCTCAGCTCCCTGCAACCTCCACCTCTCAGGTCAAGCAATTCTCCTGCCTCAGACTCCTGAGTAGCTGGGATTACAGGCACCCGCCACCACACCCAACTAATTTTTGTATTCTTAGTGGAGATGGGGTTTCTCCATGTTGGCCAGGCTGATCTCAAACTCCTGACCTTAAGTGACCCGCCCACCTAGGCCTCCCAAAATGCCATGATTATAGGTGTGAGCCACCATGCCTGGCAACATCTAGAATACTTGACCAAATATCTGGGTACCATGGCCTAGCCAAGTTAACATAAAATCAATCATCATCACCATCAAAGGGAAAGGGTATTCTGGGCAGCAGAGCAGCGTGGTGTGGGTCAGCTTAGGGCAGCAAAGAAGCTGAAAACACAGACACTGGGACCAGACGGCCTGGCTCTGAACTCGCTCTCCCACTTAGTTGTGTGGCCTTGGACACATTATTTAACCTCTCTGGGCCTTAGTGTCTTCCTCATGGGGATGATGACAATGCCTGTCTCACCAGGGCATGGTAAGGTTTAGATAATTATTACTTGTAAACTGCTCTCAATAAGTGCAGCCCACTGTGGATTCTTGCTGAGTGTAGTCTATGGGTGGAGGTAGCAGGAGCAGATGGGGAGTTAGGAGCTGGGTGCCGGTTTGTCTCTAAGGCCAAGCACTGTGCCTTCTTTCCAGGACTTGCTCACTGAGTATGCAGCAAATGAAGGAATTGATTTCGTGTTCAGGAGATCCTGCTCAAAGGACAGAGCGACATTTGTGTGTTTGAGCCAAAAAAAAAAAAAAAATCGTTACCCCACTCAAAGATTCAAGTCTCATGGAATGTGCTGCTTTTGGTGGCCTAAGTCTGAAATGTATGATGGCTTAGAGAGCACACCGTAAAGATACAGGGCAATGCCGCATTCCACTGTGACTCCTGGAAAAGCCCCCATGCTGCACATGCTGAGAAATGAACCCAGGATCTGAGTGATTTTTTTAAAAGCCAAAGAGCAAGCCATGGCAGTGTCTGCCTGCTGGGCAGTGGAGGACTCGCATCCCTTAAAGAAAACAGTCATTTAAAACGCAAGTGTTTTGTGGTGTTTATGTAAGATCATACGGGACAAATAACTTCCTTTTACCAAACTGTGTAGTCAATTGCATGAAGAAGCTTGAACAGTAGTTTAACCAGGGTTGATATTGCTTTTCCTTTATCTTTGGATCATTTTCAAATTAGTTGAGAATTCTGCTGAAGGTAATTCATAGACACTCCTTTCTCCCACTGAATATTGGAACTTCCCTGACCTCAGTTTTATTAAAATACAGTGATAGGCTGGGCGTGGTGGCTCAATCCTGTAATCCCTGCACTTTGGGAGGCTGAGACGGGCGGATCACGAGGTCAGGAGATCGAGACCATCCTGGCTAACACGGTGAAACCCCGTCTCTACTAAAAAAATACTAAAAAAAACTAGCCAGGCGAGGTGGTGGGCACCTGTAGTCCCAGCTACTCAGGGGGCTGAAGCAGGAGAATGGCGTAAACCCAGGAGGTGGAACTTGCAGTGAGCCGAGATCCGGCCACTGCACTCCAGCCTGGGCGACAGAGCAAGACACCATCTCAAAAAAAAAAAAATACAGTGATATATGTACATATAAGCTGAAGTCAATACATTTATTCAACAATACATTGCTCTGAGGCTTTAATGGGATAAGATATGCAAACCAATTCACCTGGTACATGGTAGGTCTTCAGTGAAAGAGGACTCTCTTTATGTCATAATGCGTGGATGTCAATACCCAAGGCAGTGTGCTGCCCCCTGGCCACTCAGTGTGGTTCAGGGACCAGGGACATTGGCATGATGCTGAGGCCTGCTAGAAATGCAGGTTCTCAGGCCCTGCCCCAGGTCTATGGAATCAGATTCCACATTTAAGAAGATCCCATGGTGACTTCTGTGCAACTTCAAGTTGTCAAACCTTGTCTTATAGACGCATGGCTGTGAGTTCTAGGGGGATATAAGGGTCTTGTTACTTTTTTGGTTTAGTAAGAAAATGAGTTATTATTCCTTCCCTTCCCCATCACCCTGTCTCCCTCCTCTAGCACACCAGGCAGGAGAATCCAGTACCTACCTCCTCCCTGCTTTGAGTTCAGCTCCAGAACGGTCAGCAAGGCTTAACGTCTGCTGGCCTCAGCTTCTTCATCTGTACTATGGGTAGTTCTGAACGGCTGCGCCTCCAGGCATTGCCTTGAGGCTCCGGTGTGGTTCTGCAGGTGAAAAAGCTTGGCCAAACTCTCCCAGTGTAACTGTTGATGCCGTGATGTGTGCCGACTCTCGCTCCCCTTCTCCACGTAGTGTTGCACACGTGTAGTAGCAACGGGAGCCCGGAGCCCCCAGCCAGTAGCCCGGAGCCTTCAAACTTAGGAGTGCGTCTGTTTTACTGGATGCTTCCTTCAACAGGTCTTCCTGGAAGTGGGTGGTCTAGGTATGACTCCGGGGCAAAGGGGAGACTTTCCAGCCAGCCCCAGTGGCCACATGGTGCTGGGGAAATGAGATGCTGCTGCTTCTGGCTTCCATTCAACAACTATGCGTAGAGCACCCACCCCATGCCAGGCACAGTGCTGCCTGTTGGGAGTGGAACAGTGGACAAAGTCCTGCTTCCATGGGGAGGATGTTCTTAGATTCTGGGGAGGGGAAACAAGCAAGACTCGAATAAATACTGAAGATGTCAGAAACAGGCAGAGGCTAAAATGGTGTGAGGAGGTGAGCCAGGCAGCCACCTGGCAGAGAGAACAGCAAGTACAAAGCCCCTGAGGTGGGAATAGTTGACTGTGGTTGAGGAAATGCTTTATGTTTTCTAACAGCTGCAATTTTCAAAAGTAGTACCCTGTGTATAGGATTTTACGGAGAAACCACCACCCTGAAAGTGGTTGTAAAGAGCATCATTAAAACACCTGTTTGAAAACAGGTGTTTGGCTACCTAATTAAGTCTTCAAACCGGCTTAAACAGATGGAGAGATGAAGGCACAGAGACAAAACAGCTGGATGAAGGTCAGCCAGCCACAAAATGACCCCTCCAGGCCAGGCCTGTCCTGAGTCCACTGCCAGAGCCCTGGTCTCCACACTGCATGACCCCCTGAGGGTTCACTATTCATATTTTGCGATTCTTTGCTATCATTTGATAGTCTCCAGAAATCTGGTATTTTCAAAAGAGTATTGCAAAACCTACATTTTTTTTTCCAAAGGGAAGTAATTCAAACCTGCATTACCGTGATTTTTTCCCCTCCAGGAACATAAAAATTAATGTTTTAAAGTTTATATATGGAAAGCTATGATGTAGCATTAGAAGCCACAGGCTCTCGGGTCAGACAGATTTTTATTCAAATCCTGTCCCTAGTGATGATGTAACCTGAGGCAAGTTAGTTCACCTCTGTGAGTCTCAATTTTCTTGTCTGTAGAATGGGTACAATCAACGCACACGTCTTGAAGTGTTGTGGTCAATGGAGAATTTATCTAAAGTGCTCACAAAGTAAGCACTCAAGGAATATCAGCTAACATTTGCTGCACTTGGCCTTTCTAACCCAACCTAATCATTATCGTATCTTCTCTCACCTTTATATTTATAATAGTCCCTAACACTCATGTATTCAACACAGGCGACATGACATAGTACAGCCAGGTGCCCTGGTAACACTCACCCCACTTCTGATCTGGCCCAAGCACTGGCTGCCTGCTTCAACCATGGACAGACCCTCCCAGTCTCCCAGTTTGCTGTGGACATTGCCATTGTATTTCGCCTGGAATCCGGCCCACAGGGTACAGCGATGTCCCCTGCCCGGCCCCAGCTGAAACTGGCATTTTCCAGCCCTGTTAACTCAGAGGAAAAGAGGATGTGAAAACATCCATTAGTGGATGGCACCTTTCCCGACAGAATGATTCTGCACTTTTGTAAAAGGTTCTGCCTGAGTGAAGGTTGGAGTGAAGCCATTGGGGTAAATTCACTTTGTCCTGCCCTCTCTGAGGGTTCAGCAGCACTGGTTTCACTTCCTAGCCACAGTCGGCCTGCAGAGACATCTGCTGGGACAATTCACGATGGCAATGCCCTCTCCATTGTCTCTTTTTCTGCCGAAGCCTTCCTAACACACAGCACCACCACAGCACCTCCCCTGAAACCCTCACTGGCTCCCTAGTGCCCAGAGTACAAAGTCTAGGTTGCTTAGTCTGACCTTCGAAGCCCTCTAGAGCCCCTTCCAACTGCCCCAGCTGCATCGTCCACCTCTCAAAGATGCCCCTGCTGGCCATCATGGCACTGTGTTTTGTTTTGTTTTATTTTGTTTTGTTTTCAGTTGTTGTAACATTCGTGTACCAAGTACTGTTCTAGGTGCTGGGGCAATATTCCAGCCCAGGGAGACAGGGTGGCGCTGACACACAGAAGGCGCTCTATAGATGTTGGTTGAATGAAACTCACACGAGTCCTATGAAGACAGGTCATTGATGCCATTTTTCACGGGAGAGCAGAGTGAGGCTCAGAGAAGGTAAGCAACTTGTCCAAGGTCACACAGCCAGGAAGCAACAGAGCTCAGCTGTGAACTCAGGTCATCAGATCAGGAAACTCTTACCCACTGCTCCTTCTGGCCTGCCACACTCTGATGAGAGACTGTTTCCTAAGCATGAACGTCAAGAAAGATCAGAATGACAGCCAGGCTCTCAGACTGATTTGTAAAGCCCAGAAGTTGTTCCTGGGGGATTCTCAGAAGTTGTTTGGAAACTGTAAAGCCGGACATTAGATTACAAAGCCTTGTCCTACAGATCCCATTTTGCCCTCCGAGTCACGGAGTCCCACACAGATATCACAGCAGAGGGTTCCAGACACAGAGAGATCGTGTCACTCACCCAGAGCCCAACAGCTGCTACATTCGGGGCCCAGAATTCAAGCCAGGTTCAGGCCGCATGCCCGCTGACTCAGCAGCTCCTTGGCCGCCCTGCATGTGAGGGGGTTGCCGGGAAACCCCTGCCACTGCCAGACTGAGGTCACACCATTCCCTTAGGGTGGGAGAGAGTAGAAAATTACCGGTTGTAAAAACTAACTTATGGTGTGCTCAATGCCAAGCTCTGCTCTAAACACTTGGTACAATTTTGCTTGTTAAATCCTTAGATGTGGGCGGCACCCGTCTATAGATAAGGACACCAGGCCTCAGGGAGGCGGAATAATGGCCCGAGGTCACAGATCCAAGAGAATCTTTTTTTTTCTCTGTCTCCTTCATGGAATCCATTCTGTTTGGCTGCCCCTGCGATCATCCTGAAATCAAAAGCTCATCATGTCCCTGCTTAGAACCCGTCACTGGCTCCCCATGGCAACCCCAAAGCTGTGAGCACCTCATCGGGACATGGGCCATTCCAGACCCTCTGAGCTCTGTCCCCGACCCCACACCTCAGGCCCCTTGGCCTCCTGCATGTGCCGTTCCCTCTGTCTGGAATTCCCTTCCCCTGCTGTGCATCTGGTGAACTGTCATAGGTCCCTGCTGGGTTCCACGTCTCCTCCAGCCCACAGCTCAATCCCTCACCCCTCACCCTCCTCACGCCTCTTTAGTTATTTATTTATTGAGATGGAGTCTCGCTGTGTCACCCAGGCTGGAGTGCAATGGCATGATCTCGGCTCACTGCAACCTCCGCCTCCCAGGTTCAAGCGATTCTCCTGTCTCAGCCTCCCCACAGGAGCACACCGCCACACCCGGATGCCTGGCTCATTTTTGTATTTTTAGTAGACGCATTTCACCATGTTGGTCAGGCTGGTCTCGAACTCCTGACCTCAGGTGATCCACCTGCTTCAGCCTCCAAAAGTGCTAGGATTACAGGCTTGCGCCACTGCGCCTGGCCCCTCTTGGTTTTCTTGATGGCGTTTGCGTTCATCTGATGCCCTTTCTATTTATTTGTATGCTGCTATTGTTTGAACCATAATTGGACTATAAGGGGAGAGACTTTGTCTTTCTCCCCAGGACTGAAACACGCCCAGGCATATGGAGCCCCATTTACTGAGTGACTAAATGTGCCCACAGTGGTGGTTCTCAAAGCAGGGGCCCTGGACCATCCACGTCCTCATCACCCAGGAGCTTGCTGGCGTGCACCTTTCATGCAGGCCCCACCCCAGCCAGGCTGAGTCAGAAGCTCTGTGGGCGGAGCTTGGCAATCTGCATTTAAATAAGCTCTCTGGGTGATGCTGACACAGACTGGAGAACCACTGCCCTACAGAATGCAAGACGGCTTCTCTGGGCCTGAATAAAGGCCTGTGGTGACTCCACTTTTAATTTCTGCTGGCTGGAATCGTCCACCCTTCCACCTCCCAGCATTGTCTCAGTGCATGAGCTCTGTATCCCATTCAGGGCGGACAAGGGGCAGCAGCCCACTGGGCAGAGTTGCCCCAGAGGAACCCACTTTGGTGGGGCCCTTGATGGGGCTTAAGCCCTGTGAGCACATGAAGAGCTGGAAGCGGGGGAGTTCACGGGGGAGTTCACCAGATTCCCTTGGTGGAGAGGCTGCGTGGGACGGGAAGGAATGAATGGTAAACCACCCAGGAAATTAATTCTGCAGGCGCAGCACCAAGGAAGGTGACCAAGAGTCCCGGTTTGCCCAGGACGGAGGGGTTTCGTAGGACTCACACCAGGAAAGTCCTGGGCAAACCGGATCTGTTGGTCACCATGGTACCACGTGCTGAGTGGCATTCTAAGAGGGTGGGGTGGATGCTGGTGCAGTGGCTCCCACCAACACCTCCTCTGCCCTTCTCCTTTCCCCCCAGCCCCCAGGCTGCAGCTAAATAAATCTTGGACAAGTACGTGACTTGGTGTCACATCCCAACCATGCCCTTTATTAGCTGCTCAGGGTGCCTACATGTTTTGGCCCAGTCTCAATGTTTTATTTTCAAAAGATCCCCTCTTAAGAATGGGTACTGTGTAATTCTATTTCCACAAACTTCTAGAACAGGCACGATCCATTATTAGCAACAGAAGTCAGAACAGAATCCCCTTGCAGGGCTGGAATTGAGCCAGGGGACCAAGGCCTTCTGGGAGCTGGGACGCTCTCTGTCTTGCTTTGGGCGGTGGTGACACGGGCTTGTGCACGTATCAGAGCTCACCAAGCTGCCCGCAGTGTTTGTATCCTTTATGGCTTCTGTGCTAGAGCACAATAAAAAAATAAAATAAAAATAAAAGCAGAGGTTTTAAACCTGGAAAATGTACTTTTTCTGACACATAGCCTGGTGTATTTCAGAGAATCCGAGAACTGGAGGACAAACTGGAGTTTCAGAAGCGGCACCTGAAAGAACTGGAGGAAAAGGTAGGTGACTGCAGCTCACACTGTCCCCAGGTTTCTTTCCATGAAATGTTAGCGCGGAATCATTTTATTTCATAACGTCCAAAGCATAGACTCTGTCTGCAGCCCTCCTTTCTCTGCCCTTCTTCCCCCAAATCAGCACCTCATGGAAATTGGTAGCTCCTCAAAATTCCTTCCTGGTAAAGGCATTTCCTTCTCAATGGCTGTCAAAAATTTGCAGGCTGGGGCAACTCTGTATATCTTTTTCACCAAAGCCTTTCCCCAGAATCCCTCCCTTGCTGTCTCACTAGGAAAGAGGTGAAGCATGTTAGCCCGCTGAGGTTGGTGGCATCCCCCTAACCACAGACACAGGTTCTCGTCCAGGGACTCATTCATTTTTAAATACCTTCTGTATGCCCCAAACCAGTCGCATGTTCCTGGAAGACGCAGCCTCTCCCATCCCAGAGGACGTGAGGCTGGCCTCTCACTGGGCTTTGGGTATGTTCCACCAGCCCATTTACCATGATGCCCATTTTATGGGTGAGGAAACTGAGGCAGAGATAGATTAGGACACCTGTCCATGGTCCCGCAGCTAGGAAGGGATGGCTGGGGTCTCCATGGACGTCATAGCCATCCCACCCTGCCCCTCCATATGGCGTTGGTCCAGACACACACATGAGTCTTGCTCAGGACACACGCAAAGCAGCTTTATCATGGCATTGCCCTTCATCTTCCTCCACCTGATGGCTGTGAATCCTTGAGGACAGGGTCTACGTGGTGTTCATCTGATTCAAGACATTTCTTGCCGCAGGATAGGGCATCATCAAATGTTTGTGGATGAGTAAGCAAATGATCCTAGATGAGTACAGAAAAACAATAATTGCCTATTTAGTGTCACAGAGGTAAGTTCAAGTGTGGCAACAAGATGGAGGGCCGCTGAACCCATCCAGGAGGTCCGGGGGCCGGCATGCCTTTGCCCGAAGAGGGGGTCCCACCTGAATCTCAAAGGTCGTGGTGGGATCAGCTTGGGAAGAGGAGGTAGAAAGGGCATCTCTGGGCTTCATGTGTCTGAGGCCAGTCTTGTGAGAGAGGAAGCTGACTCATTTCAGGGACAAACCAGGGCAGAAGTCTCTGGAAGGCAGATTCCAGGGCTGTTCAAAAAAGGGATAACAGCCTTTCCAGTCCTGTAGAGAATCAAATCATGTGCCCAGAGAGATGGGACAGCTCTTAAGATTTCACCTCTGTTTCAGATGCTTCCTCTCCCTTCTTTTGTGAGAGTCGGCTCCCTGCAGAGGAAATCACCTTCCCATCTCTGCTGGAGGCGTAGGGCCCTGCCAGGTCGCAAGTGGACTGAGGATCTGTGCACAGGGGTGGGGGCAGGGCTCGCCCGCCAGTTCCCTGGTTACCCTCATGGGAACCCCAGTTTTAGCTGATTCCTAGAGTCCCCATCTGCCAGATGCCCCCCCCCCACCAACTCCCCAAGGATATTTTGAGAACTCAAGGGGGTCTCAAGTATGATTGAATTTAAGAATTGCTTGAGGCATAAGCTGGCTTTGCAGATAGATGAGCCTGGGCTCTCCTCTGGTCTTGCCCAAGTGGGCCCAGAGAGCCTGGGAAATTCACCCCTCTGCCCCAGGCCTTGGTGTTCTCATGTGCTGCTAGGAATGGTGCTCTGTCTCTGAGGGTGGATGTAGGGATGAAATTAGGTTGAGGATATGAAAGTTCGCAGCCCAGGGCCCAGGCAAGGCATGTGGACTGGCAGCACCAGTTCTTCCCATCTCATAGGTAGTTCTACCACTTCTGTTGGTAAAATGGGTCACAGAGCCAGATATGATAAAAGAAAGGCTTAAAACATGCCCAAGGTCATCCTTGCTGATGAAAATGTTAAAAGTCAGGTGCAATGAGCACACACTTAAAATAACACTCACTATATCCTCAGCAGTGAGAATACCTGGGAAATGTTGGAATCCTCTTTCTGGCTCTGTTTTGACTCTTTTCTCAAAGCCAATGTTTGGGGACTGGTCTGTCTCCTTTTGCCGCAGAAGGGAGTTGTGGAGGCTGGCATGTAGAGCAGGAGGGACTGGCCAGGATGGACGCCTGATGAGGCCTGTAGGGCTGGAAACCTTCCAAGATGCCTCATGCCACCTTCATTTCCTTATAGGCACTGGGGTCTGTGACCGTGGAAATAGCTCCAGCCACCACTATCCCTGGCTCATCAGTCCCTTTGTCATTGCCAGAAACTCTTTCCTGCCACACCCCACTGGATGGTCTTAATGAATCCTTCCCTCTCCCCAGGCCTCAGTTTCCCCATGTGGAAGATGAAGGGCTGGGTGATTCCCAAGGCCCCTTCTAGCTCTGACTTCCAGTGATCCTACACCTTGTTTAGAAGTTGACGGCTGTCAGCTTGGACTTTTCCAATAAATAATATAAGGAGATATTACCTTGTTTTGGGGGGAAAAAAGGCCAACTCAAGGATTATTTTCAAAAGCCCCAGCTGATGTTCAGATATGTTTCACCTAATGACTTGCAACTTCTTTTCAACAAAGCAAGTCCTGAAAAGGGTAAGAAAAGAATTCTACTTTTAAGTCGACATGTTTAATTTTTCCTCCTGTTAAGACCGTTTTTCCCTGATTTTTTTTCTCTGTAAGTAAACTAATCAAATGACATGAAAGATTTTAAACAGTGACTCTCTTGGAAGAAAGAACCCTGGTAAAGTTGGTATAGGGCTGGGGTGTCTTTGACTTCCCTGGGCCACATTGAAAGAAAAATTGTCTTGGGCCACACATACATTGCACTAACACTAACAATAGCTGGTGAGCTAAAAAAAAAATTGCAAAAAAAAAAAATTCATAATGTTTTAAGGAAGTTTACATTTGTGCTGGGCCACATTCAAAGCTGCCCTGAGCCACATGGGGCCCGTGGGTAGAGGGCTGGGCAAGCGCAGTGTAGGGGAAAGGGCTCTGCTGGTCTGTAAGTTGGACTGGGTGACCTTGAGTGGAATTTACCTTGATCTTTGGTGCACACATCATGCCCCCGTCTCTTGGTGGGAGCCACTGACCACGACCACTGGCTGGGCCTTCCTCTATTTATACTGGCCTGCCCACGTTCTGCGTGAAGTCCACATCACAGCACCAAAAAGACCTGTCCCGGTCCAGAGTGCCAGTCTCCCCTGTCTGAGTTAGCCGCATGTTTGGGGAGGGGGTCGGGATAACCCACCCTGAGTGTGGAAGGCCCCAGGATGCGTTTCCCAGGGGAGATCAGTCCCTAAGGCCTGTTTACTTCCCATTTCTCTTTCCCAACCCAACAACTCAGTGTCATAATTCTTGTAAAATGCTGTCATTGAGTTCCATACTACATATCTTACATCTGTTTTCTTTTCTTTTTCTTCTCTTTTCCTCATTTTCTTTTGGTATTATTTTATAGTTTTTGTTCCTTTTTTTGTTTTTCTCACTAGCATTCATTCTGTGGCCTTGATGACTTCAGTGAGCCAAGACCTCGGGTTGGTATCCTTTCCTTTTCGCAGATGAAAATGATGATTTTCTAAAACGGGAGGAGTCCTCCCCAGTCCCTGACGGTCCCGTTCCTTGAGAGATGAGGCACTGTGGAAGGTGGCGTTGTGCTGGACGCCTCAGCTCATGGGGCTGGGTCAGCGGGGGAGACCGCCCTGAGGAGGGGCATCAGGGAGGCTCACTGTGAAGAAGATTCTCCCCTGTGGAGTTTCATCCACAAAGGGGGACTCTGTTTTATTCTAAAGGTTCTCTCCAGTTTGGCTTCAGTCCCTGGTGCTCTCAGTTGCCATGTGGACCAGTAAGTCCTCTGTAGAGTCCAGAGTCTTTGGCTTCCAGGTTCAAGGGCTGCAGGAGCAGGAGGTTGCTGGACAAATGGCTCATGGGCCCAGACTGCCACTTACGTGCAAAGTGCCCCAGGGTGCCCATGTAAGAAGCCATCCAGCTCCCTCTCACCCCTGTCCTGTGCTGGGTTTTGACACCTGTGCCATGCTCAGGGACCTCTGGAACAAGGCTACCTCAGCATCTGGTCCTCCTCTGACCACTGAGCCCTGTGTGTCCCCAGGACCCAGCTCCCACCCTAGACACCTGGGCCCTTGCACATTCTCCCTGAGAGTGACCATTTCAGAGCCAGGGGCTGCCAGGACCCATAGACTCTAGAATTCTGTCTTTGAATCCAGCCCAGGCTGAGGGCCCCCTGGGTTCCGGGGATACCTACAGTACCCACCAGGTAGCTACCTGGACCCCTTGGGCTGAGCTCCGAGGCCAGGGCCCTGCCTGATGTCCTCATGGGCGTCCCTGAGGCTGACCCCAGTCCACAAAGGCTTTGGTCTGGTACCTTCTGTACCCAAGTGTCTGGGACAGTGCTGGACACATGGTCGATATTCATTCGATGTTTATGGACTGAGTAAGGGAAGGATCTCAGGTCTTAGAGGACAGCTGACACTCAGTCCCATCTGATCAGGGGTGGGGGTGGCCACAGGGGGTGGGTGGGTGTTAGGGGATGGGTGATCTGATCCTGCTGCTGCTTCTCCTGGGTTGTGGGGGAAGGTCCCTCAGGGCTCAGCTGGGGTGTTCATGACAGCAGTGGGGGGAGGGGGCAGATAAAGCCAAGGGATCCTGCAGTCATTTTAACCCTTGGTTCTTGTGTCGTTTCAAATTATGTTTTAATCTTTCAGGATAGAAAAAGAGTTTATGGAATACACTGAGTCCCTACGGCAACCCCAACCCCACTCAAACCAAATTCAACAGCGAAACAAGCTATTCAAAGTCCAGAGACTGCAAACAGAATTTATGTATATTTGACAATAGCTTTAAGGGGAAGCCTTTGGACGCATGGCTGGGTCCTGGCCAGCCCAAGCCGTAAGGACTCTGCAGGGACGATGGGGATTTTGTCAAACTTGGAGCCACATCCATGTCCCAGCTCTGGCACCTTGAAGGCCCAAGGGGGCAGAGACCTGAATGCCAGGAAACTAAGTGCAATTACCAGAAACCAAGGGATCGGCAGCCACTGCACTGTCTGGGGACAGGCCCGAGTCCTCATCCCCACGCTAGATGCCTCCCCAGGCCACAGTGTGCGTGTCCAGCTGGACCCGGGTGGGTGCCGTCTCTGCCCTGTGTACATAAATCTCCACGAACCGTGGTGTGTTCGTCCCAGAGTTTGTCTGCCGGAGCGACTTGCAAGTGTCCTTGTAATGTGAATCCCAGTTCAAGTTCTGCTCAGCAAAACCTCTGAATCTGTTCACAGCTGGATTCAGCAGCTGGCAGCCAGAGAGACAGGGCAGGACTCTGATGAGGGGCTGGAGCCTTGCCCATCATGGAGGAGCTGACCCCAGGGACCTCAGATTTCCGAGGGGAGGCCGAAGGCTCTGTCACTCTTGTGGGTGTGACACGGCAAAAGTCTCAGAGCATGACTGTCCCTGCGACCAGGTGGACTGAGGACTGATAGAGCAGACGTGACCACCAACCAGGCCACACTCGGGCCTGTGTTGCATCTCGGTGGTAATTTGCAAGGGGCTGCCAAGGAGGAGACGCTGGAGCACCTGCAGGAACTAGGTTATTTCCACAGCGGCCCCGAGACCAGGTCCTGCTGTCACCACTGTGGGGAGGAAGTGAGCTCTTCCTGCCTTGGGAGGCCACCCCTGGATAGAGCCAGAAGAGCTGTCAGGGTGTTGGAGGCCTCCCTGGAGAGCGGATGGAGTGGGGCAGCTACAGAGAGTCAGACACCAGCTGAGGATGGTCAGCCCAGGAGGCAATTCCCCAAGTTCCTTTCCGATGTTGTTCCTGTTGTTATTCTAGGCTGGGTGGGGGCATCTCCAGAAGAAGCCACCTGCTCACAGGATGCTTCTCCCAAACTTCTGCACGGGAAGACGTTTGGAATTAGAATAGATGAAGTGAAACAGAAGACTGAATGTGATGAGGAGGCTGGCTGTGTCTGCATGGGAAAAGCCGGCTGAAGGCCAGGCCGGGTCATCCTCAGCTGGTTGCAGGTGGACAGGCTCAGGCCCTGCTCATCAGGTGGAAGGAACAGGTCTGTGGTCTCTGGTGAGAAGGACCTTTGGACAAAAGGGAAATGACTGAAATTTAGGCAGTTGAGGGAACTCATGGGGTGAGGGCGACAGAAGAGCTAGAAGTTCTCAGAAGTTCTCAGAAGTTCTCAGATCCACGGATGGAGAAGGACACAGTGCCCTGCACAGAAAGGGCCCTGCCAGCCGGGGAGGGCTGCTCACACCACATCCCAGGATCCATCTCTAAGCAGAAATGCGCCAGGATGGCCCAGCATTACTCATTCTCTTTTGAAATCAAAACCGCAAAGCACCCACTAGCTCAGCCTCCGTAACTTACCAACACTTGGTGAAATATGAACAAACTGATGTCGGTTGAAAAAATAGGCATCCTAGCAGCCCAGGGGGCAATGGGAGAGTGGGATCACACAGTGAGTGAAAACAAAGGCACGCCTACTGTTTCCGGCCGGGAAGCACAGGATGCATTGCTGTGCTAACTTCTGCGGGCAGAAGTCTAGGGGCACCCATGGGTCTCTGGAATGTCGGTCCAGCACTCTTGTAGCCACTGCAGGAGTGCGGTCCTCACGCCTGCCTGTCCCCATCCTTCATTGGGTGAAGGGCAGTGTCTGTGTCTGCTGGGCTCTCCCACTGAGATCATGTGACCGAAATGGCCTTGGCTTTGAAGTCAGACCCATTGGTCCCTGCCAGCCTGGCCTCTTCCTGCTGCGGACACTGGCAATGTCCTTGCCACTCTGAGGAATGGTGGTGATAGTTCCCATGTGAGGCCTTGGGAGAGGTCTGAGCTGGAGGGTTAGACCCGCAGGCTCCTGCAGGCCACCGTGGCTGCTGGTGGGAGACATAGCATCCTCTGTTCTCTCCTTGGGAGTTGTCCTCAGAGGAGTCCATACAGCCGGCCCGGGGCCAGGACCCGTTCTCTTTGGCCCTCCACAAGGCGGTGCAGGATGAAGCATGAGGCTCACACTGGCAGGTATGAGGGTTTCCCTGCATAGAAATGCAGAGTCCCTGTTAGGAACCAGTATTTCTTGTCACAGTCCCAGCCATGACTTCCCGGCTCCCTGCTAGGCACAGTCCTGGCTGCTAGGACCCCAGTTTCAGGAAGCTTCAGAGCTGTGCTGCGCCCCAATGCACTCACCCCTCATCCACAGCCCTGTGCACAGGTCAGGCACATCTGCCAGGGCTTTGAATGTTGTTGTCTAGTAACACGTATGTGGCTTCCAGGGCAGCAGAGTTACAAAGTCTGGGGAACCCAAGGTCACTTCCTCAGGTAGAAAGGAGAAGTGTGGCTCCACACTTTAGCATAGCCCTCCCCACGGGTCAGCTGGGAGGTTCAGCGGAGAGCCAGCCCCGAATGTTCCTGGCACAGAGATGTCCGTGGTGCAAACACAGGTTTCCACTTCTCTCTCTTACACCTCAATCCTCTGTAGGCCAAAGGCGACCAGGGAGGAGCTGGGGCAGAGAAGTCAAGGGGTCAGACTGCGTTCTGTCACCGCCACTCTGGCCGCCTCCTGCCGGCTGAGGAGCCAAGGCCGGGACTGAGGCCGGGAGACCAGTTATGCAGGGACAAGCCGGGCTGATTTGTCCAGGACGGTGGGGGGTTCTGAGAACACAGGACTTCCTGTTTTAAAATGGAGGAGGTTCTGGGCAAACTGGGAGGTCATTACCCCACGGGTATGAGGCTTTTCTCACCAAACCCCACTTCCCTTCCGGGTCTGCAACTGGCTGCAGGTGTTTTGGCTGAAGCGCAGTGCCTGTGCCGAGCAACTTAGGTGAAATGGGCTTTGTATTTCACACGAATGCCCTGAGAGCCAGCTCACGCTCAAGGGTGTGAAATCCTACACAGCCTGCCCCCAGTTCGGTGCTGGGCCCTGAGGGGAGGGGAGGAATACAAATGTGTGGGCGGGCGGGCGTCTCCCCCAGTCAGGAGCAAGGCTCACCCTGGCTGGTTGCATGCCCCGCTTTAGCTCCGGCTTCCCCATCCTTCCCAAGCAAATTCAACATCTGCTCCCATCCGCTGCTCCTTTATCCGCCGGGAGCATCCAGGACTGTGGCCCCCGTGTCTTCCTCGCCGGCTGTAACCCCTCTGTAACCAGTAGCAATCCTGCCTGACACCCCCAGGACAAACAGTGGCCAGTTTGACCTTTGGTTATTTTCTCACATTTAAACAGGGTTTGCCAGGGCTCTGCCAAATTGTGTGGGAAATGGCAAACATGCCGTTGTGGGGTCCTCTTCCCTCCCGCCCCGCCTGGTTGTCTGGACTCCTAGGGCCTTCTGTAGGGACTCTTGGGGCCTTCTGTAGGGCCCTTCTCTACGCCCCAGATTCCGGCTCTGAAGTAGGGTGGAGTCCAGGTCTTCACACGGCCAGACCTCCTTATTTCCCTCCCAGCTTCCCCCCAACTCTCAGGGGCTGTTGTTCCAGTAGAAACAGGGACTCTTGATTTCTTCCATAGCCTGTGTTCTCCCTGTTACCACCCTCAGTCTCAGGGAACCTCCCCAAGGATCCCAAGGGGTCAGAACCCCATCCTTACATCTGCACATCAATCTGTCCCCTTCTCCTGCCCAGGCCCTGTCACTTCTGAGGGGCCTGCAGGCTCAGATCTCCACCCCAGGCTACCACAGAGGTTGGTAAACCATAGGCAGGCCACGATTTTCTCTGTTTGACCTTCTTCTTCCCCCAAGAGCCTCCGTCACTTACCTAAAAGACCTGAGAACACTTCCCTGGAGAGGCCCCGCCTGCTTCACTGTCCTTAGGTGAGAAGGAAGGACGTGCCCTCCCTCAGGGCTGCTCCCAAGGAAGGGCTGGAACACCTCCTCCTCCTTGGTGGGCCTGGGGTAATTTTTCAGTCTCTTGCTGCTGCCTTCAGCTGTCACTCAATCCTCCTGCTCTGCATTGGCTCCTCCTGGCTGATGTTCCTCGGGGCTCATGGTGCAGTGCAGATACAGGACCGACCACCACACCCCGCCACCTCCCCAGAGCTCAGTTAGTCATCGCCACAGCGGGGAGCGGGGACTGCTGCCAGTTTCATCCTGCAGGGGGCCAAGTCACTTGCCTAGGATCATGTGGCAAGCAGGCTTGAAAGTTGGACGCAGCTGGACAGTGTTGCGTCTGCCCCCCATCCAGCAGACAGCATGCGTATTTAGTGTGTGCCGGGTGCTCTGCTGAGGGCTTTGCAGGGATTGACTTATTTATTCCTCGACAGCTCTTCACTTAGGCACGATTTTTACCCTCCTTTTTTCTTTGAGAAGTTAAGTAATTTTCCAAAATCACATCTGAGAAGCGATGGAGACAGGCCTGGAACCTAGGCAGCCTGGTCCCAGCGCCTGGGATCTGAGTGGCTCTACTGCACCCCCGCCCCCCGCCTCTGACCGCCCCAGGTCCACTGAAACCCCTTGTGGCCACCAAGACATTGGCCACTGTTGGGAAAATATGATTAAAGACAAAAGCTTCTCCCAGCGCAGAAAACCTCATCACAAAGAAAAGAAAAAAAAAAAGGTTTTATTATTGAATAAGCATTAAACCAAGATATGAGATGCATTACAGGCAACCCACTGAGAGATTGCAAAGACAGAAAGAAGTTTCAACCTTTTGTATAGCCAGGCAGGCACAATGCATGCACACTTTCTCTCACCCTCATCCCTACGGAAAAGGACTTGATAGCGTCATTGCTTCACATGGTTCATCCTAAACTCACCTGGCAACTAGGGCAACCCTCTGTGTTCATTAATTTGTTTTATACAAAGGGAAAAAAAACGTCTCCTGCACCTGGGTTCCACCCTTCTGTCACTTCCTGTGACAGGTTTTGCATTTTGGAGCCAGGCGCCTGGCCAATTAGGCTCCTTCCTCCCACTGAACACTAGGGGCGCTGTTTTCCTTGGAATTTACATCCCAAAGAGGCGGTGCCCAGGTCCTTCAGGAAAACATTCCCGGGTCATACAGCTGGCAAAAGGCTTATTTCGCTTTAAAAAGGATTTACACATATTTCAAAGAGACAAAGAAAGAACTTACAAATTTTCTAAAGTAAATGCTCTAAGAAAAGGGAGGGGGGACGTTTCTTATTTTTAACAGGGAGATGGAAGCCTCTTATTTTCTGTTTGTCTGCCTCCATCTTGCTCCTGCCAACCCGGAGTGCTCGATCCTCAAAATGACATTTGACCAGGCACCTCCCTTCTCCCAGGGGCCCACAGAAACGCCAGAGTCCTTGAGTGCCTGTAAGAGGATGGCACCCAGCCTCCTCTGTCCTCACTCCCCACTTCCTCCTTCTGTGTGTCCACCGGGCCAGCTCAGTCTGGTCCTCCCGTTCCCTTCACCTGTCCTGCCTCTCTGTGCAGGGCAGTGGCCTGAGGATGCTCCCCACCTGGGGGAGTCCCCTCCCCACCTCTCTCTCCTGTAATCCCCCATTCCTCCTACGATCTCTTCAGCCTGGAGCTCCCTCCCCCTCCTCCGGGTGCCCAAAGGATGCATTCGCTCCTGTTTTGGGGTCTTGTTGCTCACCTATTACCGTATCTCCTGTGTCAGAATGCACACTCTCTAGTGTGGGAGTCAGATCCATATTTGAATCCTGACTCTGCTACCTCCCATCCCACCTGTGAGGCCCAGATAAGCTCCTTCACCTTGCAGAGCCTCCATCGGACCATCTGTATAATGGTCATGTTAACGCCTACCTCATAGGGTCACTGGGAGAATTGGACTGGGTAAGGCAAGAGAGGCCCCCGCCCCTGGTGCAGACGGCACCCAGGGCAGCATAAATTTCCCATCCTCTTCCCCTAGCAAACTCTAGGTCCTTGAAACGTATGTGCTGCACTCAGAGAGGAGCTGTGGAACTTTATTCATTATGTGGTAAAAAGATGAGCTTCATTGACTACTGGGCGTCTCCAACATCTGATGGCCTTACCTGGAGATCTTACTTTTCCTCTCTGTGTTCATCACCAGGCATTTCATCTCATGTGATTTTTCTGCAACTTTTTCTTGCTTCGCGTGAGTTCTGGCATGCTGACTTGTAAAATGAGAGGCTTTCATTCATATTGTATGATGCTTGTGCAGATGAAACCCAAGTCACCCACTCATGAATAATCCACCTGTTCTTGCCCTTCTCAAAGGATATTCTCCTGAACAATCTGAAGTCACAACCACCACCTTGAAACCTCCAGGAAGTCAATGTTGCAAACTCACTTAATTTTATTATTAAGTCTTGCCCCATGAAATATTTGCGAGATGGAGCCAACAGCTAAGGGACGGACTGAGAAGAGTTTCAGCTATGTCATCAGAGCCCCCAGCAGTGAGGGGTTCGACATAATGAACGTT